TGCTAAACGTGACAACTATAGCAAATATCTTCCGTATGACGCAATATATGGAAGGTCTTTTTCCAGAAATAGACTTTTTATAGGATGTAATGAATTAATTTATTTAAAAAATGCACCGAGAAATACATTATTGTTTTGATTATACGTTTGTGATTAGTTCTAAATCCACTGCTTGAATAGGATAAAGTTTTCCAAATTGGCTCCGTTTCATTCATTTTTAAATTTTATAGTACATTTTTTAAGGTAAAAGTAATAATTCGAGAATTCATAACAACTAAACGAACACCTAACGCCATCTATTGGTAAAAAAATATTTTCATAACTTTAATTAAAAAAAATTAAGACTAAGAACTTCGTTGTAGATGGCGCTGAAGAATGAAACTTGAAGCCTTGAGCTAAGAAATCAATCATGAAGTAGAGCAATACGTACCACGCAAGCGTGCTGACCTATTAACCCCGCGTTTATGACCTAATTACCACAATTTTATCTCTTTGCAATTGGTCAAATGATTTATTGATTTTGACTTATAGCTTTCTATACCAATAGAAAATGTACTAAAGCGCATGTCACGAGTGCGATAGTTTTAATTGGACCAATAATGTTCGCTAGTTTTGGCGGGAAATTTAAAATAATTACATTTACATATTCCAATTCTTAACTAAAGTTTAATATATACTGGAATTAGTTTTACATTATATGGATGAATGAAAAAACAGAAACAGTTATAGTTTGTTGTTCAGTAACACAATTTTAGATTTAGGTTAAAAAAAAGACAAACTAGATGCCTCCACCATTAACAAAGCTACACGTGTTTCACCTTATAACGAGGCATATGGAGGCATTATTTATCTATAAAAAGAGATATTAATAGGACTATTAACACCAATAATACCAAGTAAGATTTTTTGAAATGCTTGTGTTACTTACTCGTTGGATTGGTCTACGACAGTGGTCGAATGTTGGATTCAAACCCACAATTTTTCACGTGCGCTATCGGCTCCCTTAACCATTAGACTACCATCGATATTACTAACCTGCTGAGCTAATAATGTCTAGTTTCTTTATTTGAAAAACATTATTCACTCCACGGAGAAACAAACTAAAAATAAAAAAACTTATATAGTAAAAATACCGGTCAAAAACTTATGACGAATCGCTAATTGAGAGCAGAAGTATGCTATAGACTTTAAATGCATTTCGTGTTATAATGAAATAAGATGAATTGACAACATTTACATATTTAAGAACGAAACGTTTCTTAGCTTTAAAAATCAAGGAAATTCGTTCATTCATCACAGAATTCTACTGAACATAAACCTCCTTCATAGATTGTCTCATAGGGGATATTTGCCATAGTTGCCACGCTCGGCAGGCGGCTTTGAAACCACAGTGTTTTATATTATTGAGTTGTTATCAGGACGATGCTGCGGACCATCTCTTGGTTGCTATTTCCATCTGTTGCCTCTAACTACACCAACGCCCTTGGTTGCCTTCCCACCTGTCGAAATACTGGCTTAAGAAATTGACAGACTATACAATATAAACATAGATGTTATATAGATTACCAGATGTCTTCCCCCACTGACGCTCTCCTACACAGGATATGGTATTCCGCCGTCTACTGGAAGCGCAGGTTTTTCTGACTTCGCTTTTTACGTCTCATACAATTAATAATGGACGAAATGGAATGGTGCGTAATGTCGCCGTCACAGCCATTACAAAAATAAGTGATAAAAGCTCCACACATGAATTACCCTTTTAAATCACCGCTAGACTTAGGACTTTTCAAATAACTGACTCTGGCAAGCGTTACTAAGAATGTTTGCTCCAGCTCTAGTACATAATTAAGAAAGATGCAGGCGGGTTCATCAGTAGTGCTATTATGTAATCCTGATGGGACTCGTGATTTTTTTAAAGACAAAGGGTAACAAACCACAACACAGTCCACCTGATGGTAAGTAGATGATGTGGACCATGGACATCTAAACTTATCCTTGATTAGGAATCAAAACTTAGATACGATCACTACACTCACCATAAGAAACACGGCAGTATTAAGCTGCTATTTTACGCTGGTATTCTGTGAGAGCCATTAGTGCTACAATCATAATATAACTGCAACGTGGCTCTACCACGTATAAAAGTGGCTTGGTTTTGACGTATAAACTTGGTTTCATATAATTGTGCAAATAAATCAGTATAGATTATAAATCGATGAACTTTTATATTATTATTATTCTTAGTTTAGATAATAAAATAATTATCATAATTAAAAAAGTATAACGCAGTTGTAGAGAGATGTACACATTCGCAATGCTGATTGATAAAAAATTGTGCATGTAATTGTGTGTGCACACAATTACAGGTACGAAGTGAAACTTCTTTACGACATATCATTCTTCTTTTTTTATTACAAGTACTCATGCAACCCTGGCGGAGAAACTTTAACAAGGAAGCGTGACTTTTTTAATACCATACTTTTCTCCACTACGTCGATAAAGAACTTACGAGCATTTTTCACCATATTTTTTGAGCATACGATGTTTTGATTTTGAGATACGGGTGGCAAACGAGCACATAGTTCATCTGATGTTAAGTGGTTACGGTGGCCCATAAACATCTACACCTATCATCGATAACGAATCAAAATACAGATGCGTTGTCACCCGTGAGTACTTACGAGTAGATAGAATGCCTCGTTTCCAGTAAACGGGGTTTCCGGTTCTCTATACTCACCAAGCAAAGCACAGCAGCGTTAAGCTGCCATTTGACACAGGTATTTTGTGAGATCGTGGTCCTTGCCCGGTCGAGCCGACCCATTCGTGCTGCAACTATACCAGTTATATAACTGCAGCGCGGCTCTACCACGTAGGAATTTAGTTTATGAATGCATAATATCCATCTATTTTTTCCTACAAAGTATTAGGAACAATTGATTGTTATTGTGAGAGAAATTAAAAAAAAAACCTAAAATTTATTCGTAGGGACAGCATTCTTACTTCAGCGACATCAGCGAACAAAAGAAGAAGAGAATGACTATTTGCATTGTTCCAGTAACTTTATTAACATAATTTATTTATTTGTTTATTTTATTTTATTATCCCTATTATTAGCTTTAAATTAACGGTATACGATCATGTCATAAGCAATCGGATCTCCACGTGAATAATTTCGTAAAAAGAACTTTGTGGATTTGACAATGCGGGCAAAGACGCAAGCCAAAGCAAAAATGTGAACGTGTCTGTTTTGGACATGGCTATTGCTATTCGAAGTATTTTTAACATAATTGGACACTTATGGTATATACATTCGCCTAGAGAAAACCACAGCACTTTATTTCAATGGAGATATTTAATAAACCATGCTACAACAGCCAATTATTAAGAAAGTTGACAGTTTCAGATAAACTAAAGGTAGCCTTCGCAATAGAGACATCAGTTGCACATAAAGCTAGGTCATCTGCATATTGCAGGACATTACCTTGACAATTCACAGATCCGTATAAATCATGGATGTAGAGACTGTATAACAAAGAGCTCAAGACTGATCCTTGTGGTAGTCCCTTCCAGGTAAATTTTGATGCTAGAAATCTTCCTTCAGAGCAAACTAATAAGCGTCTATAAGAAAGTAGGTTTGATAATTATTGTCGATTTCGACCCACGGGGGCGAAGCCACGGGCAAAAGCCAGTACTTAAATATGTGAGCATAGATAAACAAACATTAATCTAAGGAGCTAAATTAATAATCTTTGTGTTTTAAACTCTATAAAACTTCTTTTTCAGCTAGAGTAACAGCTGGTAGGTCAGATTAGAGATTTCATTACCAGACGTTTCGCACTCTGTTCCCCGTCTTAGTTCTGCTCAATTTACTATCTATCTAATATAGCTAAGCACAAATAAATTTCTCAGAATGAGAATACCCGTATTCAATCCCCGCCGGCACCAACGAAACTTGGAATTTGAAGTGCTGAATTACCACGTGCCCAGCGGTTAAGGAAAATACCGTGAGGAAATCTGCATGTGTGAGAAATAAAAAAGACCTGTGAAATCCACCATCATGTATTCGGACAACTCGACGGACAGGCCTGTTAAAACGCTGGAAATGAGAGGAGGCTAGCAGTCCCCAGCAGTGGGACATATAAAGGCTGAAACTTTGCTTAAACTATATGCTTACGCCACCTAACCGAGGTATTGAGAACCTTCTAGAATTTCCTTTTCACATATTTGCCTTTAACGACGCCCACCATATAGCATTATATATTTTATAGAATAGAATAAGCAAGAAAAAAGCACACAATTCACCTGATGGTAAGTGGATGCTGTAGACACATTTACATCTATCCTTCATTAAGAATTAAAACTCTGATGCGCTGTCACCCTTGAGGAATAACAGTAAAAAGGGTATCCGGTTCTCTCTACATTCACCATACGAAACACAGCGGCATTAAGCTGCTATTTCACGTTGGTATTCTGTTCTCACAGTACCTGCGAGGTCCGGCCCCGGTGCTATAATCACGAAGAAATATGTATATAATTATGTAGACAAATAAAATAATAAATAATAATAATAATATTTTGGCATGATAACTAAATATGTAGATATAAATCGTTAGATATACTTCTGTAAATATATAATATATGAATGTGAAAACAAACTAAGGTTCGATAACATCGAAAATGTAATAAACCTTGGGTACCTGTCGCAAACAACAAAACTCATTAAGAAAAACATAATAATAGTAATGATGAACTTCTGAAAGAAAACTTTGTTTAATGAAATGCGTATGTATGTAAATTTTAAGACATATATTTTTATAAAACTAATTGCTTAAATTACAATTACAGTGGTATGAATTATATTCGTTTAACAATTTTAAACGATTGCCTATTTAATACTTGAAGGTTAAAAATAATATTAATATTTCTTAAATTAAAAAAATCACTTCCAGTATATTAAGTCTTTTATGTTGTGTACTTTGGTCCGGTATTGCTGATGCTTCTTAAGCTTCTATGGTATAAATCTGAAATGGAACAAAAACATAGTTATAATTAGAATCGTTTTCGTCTCTTTTACCTAAATAACTTCAGTACTCGAAAATAAATTATTTCTGAACAACTACTAGTTGCGATAGCAACGCAAATGCAATATTAATATTTGCATTATTAATATTAACGTTTGCAATTATAATATTAATATTTGCAATATTTATAATAACGTTGATATTATAATCGTTTAGTTTTTTTAAATAATAATAGTTAACATAGTAATAATAGTTAATATTCGATTACAGCCAATCAAAAGTCATAGTCATAGACTTATATGGCGTATAGCGTATTTGCCATAGTTGCACCCTTGAGAGTTGGTTCGGCAGCCGTAATTTTAATTTAATATTATATAATATATAAATATTATAGTTGTAATTTAATATTATATTATATATGAGTATTATAGTTGTAATTAGGGACGCTGCTGCCCATCTCTGGTTTGTTTCCCTCTGTCGTCTTCTACGACACCCACGGGATGATATTGGATATTTTACACCGCCACTACACGATAATTTTCGTTTAGTTTTACTAAACTGGTTTCTGTAAAAAATCGTACTTGCATAAATGAAGATATTGATGACGATTAGAATCGCATTTACAGCCAGTTTTATATTTTGATATTTCTTATCTTAGCATTGTTTATTAACTATACCTTTTTCTTTAAGCTCTTGTTATCGATGTAACTTTGCAACGCCAGGTAAATAAATCTGTATTGAGCCTTGTTCTGTACCATGCCTCTTCTTTGTGACCGCACCGTTTTCACAGTGTTGTGAACGTCTATGTCACTGTTAAACCCTACGGAAATGTAAAATAGAAACGATATATAATTCGCCAACAATATATAATATTATATCATTAACAAATGAATAACCAAACAGCATCTCGCAAGCTACAATGTAACAAGAAAAGAATACAAGTTAAAGCACAGCTTAAAATAAAATATACGCTATTTCAAGTTAGCACATTACAACACTCGCAATTTATCACCGTTGAAAAAACACAATGTATTTCGTTGTAGAGATATAAAAGATTTTTAACCAGTCATTATTTTATCACTATACAGAAAATTAAGCACAACAATCGCAGTGCAAAAATGTTTTAAGTACAATCTAATGTATGAGAAATATATAAAATTATTTGAATTATGTTCATTAAATTAGCATATGCTCAGATGAAATTCATTAAAATGAATCTCTAAAAGTGAAACAGATGAAATATTTTATCTACGTAAATGTATTTTTATTTTCTTTAAGGTTGTATAATTTATACTAATTTTTTATCTGGTAATTGAAATGCAGCCCTTCAGGAAACTCGACGAACCGACAACCAACAAAGAACGGTTCTCGAGTGGCAGCCACGAAACATAGGGTGGCCCCCCACTAGATAGAGTTACGATATGGTAGGACACGCAGGAATTCGGTAGATGCAAGTGGCTCACGACCATGCTTTGGGGCTTGCCTTGATAAAGGTTTATGTTCATCAGTGAACTTGTGAAGGACTCTAATGATGATGATGAAACGACATATCATATTACATAAATATATTTATGTGACTTCAGCAAACAAATAGTAGATACGAGTATATTCTCACCAGACATTTTAATTTTATCGATGAGCATATCCAGAACAATAAATGTGCCCGTTCTGCCGACTCCTGCTGAGCAATGTACACATAGTACGTTCTGTGAATATAAAAGAGCGAATTAACGCACAAAGAATCAAACTATTAAAAAAATAAAAACAATTAATAAATTAATTAGAATTAAAGCTATATGTTTTTATCTTCATAAACAGGAGAGAAGCTTGAGTCAGAACATGGATCTCTTACAGTAACGTAAAAGCCAGATTTGTCGTTACGATTGAGTTATTAAGGAATGCTCTTCACAGAGCGGCTGGATGTCTTTGTTGCGCAGTACACGGCGGAGTCATCAACATACTACGAAGTGGTACCGTCAAAGCCCACAGCTAGGCTTGGACCTCTTCAGTTGTATGGAGGATTTGTTTAATCGCCAAGTTTGGCTGATGGATTGAGTATCGCTATACAAGACCTCTCGCGCCTTTTATGCCGCTCCTCGTTGCCGGTCTAGGTATTTTATCTCTGCTCCCTCTTTGGTCTAGTGTAGCCGTAAGCGCCACTGTTGATTATGAAGTCCCGGATTCTAGGAGTAGGAGGTCCGTAGTCAGGATGTTGGCGGTGTTTTACCTCGGTAAAGCCGTAAAATCTGTGCCTAATCTCTCTATGTTCGTGTTGTCCGTGTTGCCGCCCATCGGACTATGAGAGTGAGTAAATAGAGAGTGCACGTGTGCTTGCGCATACACTCGAGTACTACAATTCTGTCCTGCGCAGTTGGTCTCGGTTGAGTTAGGCCACCGTACTTCTGGTGTAAAGAGATGGTACATCTATCGGAAATCATCAAATCTTTCTGGCCTTCCTGTTTCTTGCCTATTATCGCCTATTATGACACCCGCGAAATAGGGTTATAACTTCTTAATTTACATAAAACTACATGATAGATCAATTTTTCAAACAACAAATTTTTTTAGGCTCATGACGGCAGCTATGGAAGGCCATCCTTAGTATTTGTTAAAAATTACACGCATTTAAATTATTTTTTCGACTATGCTAAATGATCCCGTTATTGGAATATGAGTTAGCGATTGCAGCTAGATCCGTCGCATTTTTGACACTACTGTACTCTACTGTACTGTAAAATAAGGGATGGTTACCCTTATTTTCACATTAAATTGTGATTACCTAATCTGTTCTTAGATCTTTAAAGGTTTGTTTGTACAAGCAACACGCAAAACAAACAAATATACTGCATAAAAATATACTGCAAATATACAGCATACTGTGGCCTCTATATTATGAATGAAAGGGGATTGGCTCGATTGAGGAAAAACCACGCTCTCACAGGATATCGGCGTAAAATGTTAGATACTGTTGTATTTTGTATAGAGAACCAGATTTGAACCCTTTTTTGAAAACGAGGCTACTATCAAGTGGAACGAGTTCTCATTTATGAAACAAATTCTAAACAAAAGTACAATGTAGGTAATTGTACTTAGGACTTTAAGACAAATGTTTCTTTAATATATTCTCGCAAATTACATTTTAAGAGTCACGCTGCAGCAATATCATGGTTGTAGCACAAATGTGTCGGCTCGACCATGGTAGGACCACGGTCTCGCAGAAATTCAGTGTAATACTGCTGCTGCTAAAATTGCTGCTATGTTTCGTATGGTAAGTGTAGATAACCAGAGATTCTTTAAACTGGAAACGAGGGATTTAATCTTAGTCCTCAGGGGTCTGCATTTTAATTGTTAATTGAGTATGAATGTAGATGTCTATGAACCACAGCATTCACTTGCCATCAGGTAGACTGTCTTCTCATTTGTCACCCTTATTCTAAAAAAATCAACTAGTTCAAATTTTTCTACTCGAATTATAACTTATTATACAAACACACGAATATATCACAAAACTCTCTTATAATATAATCTATGTGAGAGACTAAGGCCTTCAGAAAAAGTGACTTTTGTTAGGCTGTAATGCATCATACAATGTTGATTACAAGTGTCCATAGGCTGCAGAAGTCACTTTTAGTGAGATCGTATTCTTTTATAGGAGAGGGGAGTAAACGATCATGCGGCTCACCTGTTGGTAAGTAACTACCGCCGCCGATGAAGAACTAAAACACCAGGGGAATTTTAGATGCGTTGCCGGCCTTTTAAAAGGAGTAAGCCCTTCTCTTGAAAGTCCCTAAGTCGTATCGGTCCAGAAAAATCTCTGGTAGTAGTTGATTTTGCAAGGAAGTTGTGTGAGGAAGAAATATTCTTTTTTATCGCACAGTGGTGGAAAGCCAGTCATCCAGATGGTATGGATGGTATCGCAAGTTTTGTCGCGGTGTGCGATGGTGAAATTGTGCGGCTGTAATTAGTGCGAACTATTCCCCGTGGTTAATGCGATAAAATACGCAAATAAATGCAACATCTCTTCGAAGTGCCAGTAATTCAAGCCGATCAGACAGAGCTTGGTTGCGTATGCGCTCGATGCGATCAAATAGAAGGAGCTGACACTGGCGAGCCTCAGCCCAGATATGGGAACAGTATTCGGTGTGCGGCTGAACCTGCGCCTTGTAAAGTATCGGGTGGTGTGCCGGCATGAAATACTGTCCCGCCATGCTGAGCACGCCAAGCTTTTTAAAGACCTATTTGGCTTTCTCTTTCAAGTGACTACGAAACTGCACATTACTCGATATGTCAACGCCGAGAATTCCGATACTGGCTAAGGCAACAAGGAGAGTGCCTCAAAGCTGAGGAAAACGAAAAAGTTCTTTTTAGCGGTAAACGCGCAAACTTGTCTCTTTTGGGGATTAAACCAAACTAGATTTAGTAGCTCCAGTCCAAAACTTTGTTCAACAAAGTATCAACATCAGACACAATTTTGTTCCGGTACTCAGCGACATGTTCCCGAGAAATATTGGCACGGTCGGTGTATAAAGCATCACCAGCGCTGCAGAAGGTAACTAGCCGAGCGACCTTGACGGAAACCGTACTGGCGGTCTATTCAGTTCTCGGTACTAATCAGTTGGTAATCCTCAAGGCACCTCATGAACTAGGAGTTAATAATTATTTCCATTTTGGAGAATAGGGAGGTGATAACGATAGGTCTGTAGTTGGATGGATCTGAGTGGTGGCCTTTTTTAGGGATACGGGGGGCATTAAAGATGCCTTCCACGAGTTCGGGACTATACCTTGGTAGTAGGAAGTACCGGATAAGATGAGTTGAAACTGGTGTCAACTCCGAAGCACACGTCTTCAGCAAAAAAAGATCGCATCCCATCCTAATTGGCTCATCTATAGTGCCAAACACGGCGGCAATCTGCAGCACGCAACTGCAATGGGAGTGTGACACCGCACTCCAGATTAGACAATGGTCCGAGGAGCCAAGAGGGACATCAACGGAGACCAGATATCTGTCTGGATGAGAGGTCAGCAGAAGGTCCAACATGGAAAGTTCAACATCTTTCACATCTGGGATCCGCGTAGACGAGGTAACCAGTTGTGTCAGATCATATGCCAAAGCAATATTATAAACTGATCTACACACATGATCGGTTGAATGGGAACCAAGTCCAAATCCACAAGATTTTAACATGGTGGGCGTTAAAATCATCAAAGATCACGATCTCTGTGAAATGGGACCTTTTTTAGCACGGAGTCTGCAGCCATTTGGGCGTGGTCGATGAGTCGGTCTGCGTCGGCATCACCGCTATGGGAGCTATAGACGCTATAAACTCGTTGACGCGTCGATAGTCTTCAAGCCTGCCGAGGCGTCGAAAACATTTGTATTCTCTGACGTACACGCAAACTCCACAGCCAGGGGCATAAAGAAGTGTTCTAGTTTGTGCCGCGGGAAGGAGAGATACGAAGTACCAGAGGACACCCGTGTCTCAGTTATAGAGAAAAAGGCCGGCTTCGCCGTTTCCAGATGGTAGTGGATGGCGTTAAGGTTTATGAAGTCCCCTAATGTTGCAGAAATTCACGGATAGTGGGGCAAGGGACGCCTTTATCTTATTGCTTCGTTTACCCGAGCTGGTTCAGTCTCGAACAGTTTTGCTCTCCCTAGAATAGTGGGGCAACCTGAGCTCACGCTCAGGGGATGCTCAGATGAGGTATTTGCCGTCATCAGGGGTGCTGATACCCTCCTGGGGTAGCAATCTGTTTAACAACGCTATCATGTTAAGGAGGGTGGGGGGGATTTGGCCTCTGGCACTCACTAAACGAAATACAGAAGCGAGTTGCACCTTTGTCATCGAAATTCCTGATCTGAAAGCGCTTGAACCAACTTTTGCTACTTTTACTGATACTGCATTAGGTCCATAAACGCAAAAATGTTTTTCGCGGTTTGAGTCGCATTTTCCCTTTTTGTAATAAAACTTCAGAATTTATCGAATTTCTTCGTTAGATTCCCTCATTTTGGCAGACAGTAAAATAATTTAAAAGAGGCGGGAAATAGTTTTTTACTTTCAATGAGCTATTAACATATTACTTCAATGTTTACTTTTTATATTTTGTTTCTAAATGTATTGATATCAAAAACAGCCAGATACAAACAGCACAAACAAAGAGATTTTTCTTCAATTTTATACAAAAAAATAAATAATAGGAAGAAACTTTTTCCCCGACCTATTAATAAAATATTTTTCGCGAGTATGAGTATTAAATTTAATTTTGAGTAGTAAATTTGTTGTTTTTATTTAAGTTAATATATACAAAATTATTAACCTGTTCCGGCGCGTTTCCATCTTGTGAATTGAGATACATCCTCCTATTGATGTCGTCTATAAATGTCAGGACTCCGTCCGGCTCAGGCGGTGCCCCGTGGTCAGGCCATGTCTGTAAAATGAAATTAAAATCATTTTAGCATTTAAAGTCTGTTATTTTAATCTCTGCGACTAAATTGACACATATACAAATATTGCCAGCGCTTTTGTGAAGTGATGTACCTAACATATCAGTTTGTTGAATCATAACTTGAATCATATATTTATTAGACGATTAGGTTAAGATTAGAATTAGGATGGAGGGAAGTGTTTTATACTTTTTATTTTTCTTTTTCTTAATGTCCTATATGTATTGATATTAAACCCAGCCAGATACAAACAGTACAACCATAGAGATTTTTCTGCAATTTTTTACCAACAAAATACGAAGAAACATTTTCCCCTACCAATTAATAAAATACTTTTCACTAGTATGAGTAATACATTAAATAAACCTATGAAGCTCGGCTACCAACTTAGAACTCCGGAACTACTACTTCGGAATCACGCTTACCTGCACTATTTATTAATTTTTATGATATTCAAGTTGTAAATGATGACAGAGAACTTCCGTCACTTTCAAGAAATAAGTTATATAAAATATTAAAACACCTTCATTTTAAGTACATGACCAGAAAACGCTCCAGTGCAATTAATGACCAAGATGACATCATTTTACGTCATCGATATTTAAAAAAAAAGCTATATTGTAGGGAATGTCGCTTTATATATTATTAGGATGAAACGTGGATTAATAAAAGTTGGTAAATTATTACCTGATAGTAGCTATGTTTGTATTGCTGTGACCTGTCCGGGTAGTTTGGAGGCCAGGCCTCCAAACTACACCTGTAACACAGGTAATTCTAGTACAGGATCCAGTCTCCACAACTTTAATGTATTTTTGTAAACACTATTATGTTTCTATTGTACTAATTTTTCTGTGGTGGAAAAAAAACAAGTAAATGCTAATATAATAATTATCATATTAGCATTTACTTGCTCCTTGAGTCGAGTATATTATTTCAATGTTCACATAATATTATTAATCATTCTAGGCATAAGACATAAACATAAACACTCACGCCTGTCACCCAGAGGGGTAGGCAGAGACTACAGACTTCCATTTGGCACGATCCTGACACACCTCTCTCGCCTCCTTCACATCCATACACCTCCGCATACATGCTCGTCGGTTAAGGGTACTCCTAATTTGGCCCGTTTTCAATAAATCGCCAATTTGGTCGATAAATTTTCGCCTAGGACGTCCCTTTCCGACTCTGCCATTCACTTCTGCAACATAAATTTTCTTTGTCACTCTTTCCTCATTCATTCTTTCCACATGACCAAACCACCGAAGCATTCCTTTCTTAATCCTGGTCACAACATCATCTTGCAAACCACACTCTTCTCTTATTACACAATTTCTTACCCTGTCATTAAGATTCAGCCCTAACATACTCCTTAACGACCGCATTTCTACTGCGTTCATTCTACTCTCGTGCTTCTTCTGCCACACCCAACTTTCACTACCATATGTTAAAGTAGGGACCAACACAGCATTGTGAATTGCCATACGTGCCTTTTTCGACACATTTTGACTCTTCACAATAGAGTGCAGGGCCCCATTTATTCTATTTCCCGCATTCACTCGTCGTTCTATATCCTTATCATATCTCCCATCCCTGCTAAATACGCAGCCCAAATATACAAACTCATCTACTTGCTCGATCCACTCCCCTTCTATTCTTATTTCACAAATCGTTTTACTTTCTTCTCTTTCAAAAACCATAACCTTCGTCTTACTTGCGTTCACTTTCATACCCCTTTCTTTTAATGATCTGTTCATTAATGTAACCATCATTTGCAACTCGGCCGCCGACGACGCAAGTATAACTTGATCATCGGCGTACAAAAGGCATTTGACGGTTAACTCACCCATTCTTAATCCGCATTCTTCAACTTTCAAATTTTGCAAACAACTGTCCATAAATAGGTTGAACAGCCACGGGGAAGCTACACAGCCCTGTCTGACACCTTTATGGATGTCAAACCAGTCCGAGTAGACCCCGTTGATCCTAACACAAGCACTAGAGTCCCTATAAAGGGACTCCAATGCCCGTATCAAGCCAGCGCTCAACCCAAATGAGTTCAGTGTTTGCCATAGCACATCCCTATTCACTCTGTCATAGGCCTTTTCCAAGTCCATGAACGCACAAAAAACCTTTTGGTTTTTGGCCAAAAACTTCTCCGCGATCATGCGCATGGAAAAGACTTGATCTGTACATCCCATTCCCTTTCTAAATCCTGCTTGCACATCCCAAATTTTTCCATCAGTTTCTTTCATGACCCTTTCAATCAGTACCTTAGCATACAGTTTTCCCACAATGCTAAGAAGGCTGATGCCACGGTAGTTTTTACAGTCCTGCTGCGACCCTTTTCCCATTCTAGGCCATATTGAGAATAAGCTCTGGATGGGCACCAGCATGCAATCGTCACGTCAGGCTTTCTCAGAAGGCCTAACCACTGGATTAAAAGGGCCTTCAGGCAAGTCGAGACGACTAGTAGTGTCCCATGTTGGAAGTGAAGAGGGTTTCTTGGATGTTGGTTCGAAGATCAAAAGGGGCTAAATGATTACCTCAAGGAGATAAATTCCGATCAATATTAAAACTGGTTAAAAAATATTCTCCCGAAATTAAAAGACAACGCAGTTCTTGAAATAGATAATGTTCTATATCACACCATGAAACTGGAATCGTTAGCTGCTTCTAGTTGCAAAAAGGCTCAAAAGAAAAAAGTTTAAAATCAATAAATAGTCCGTATGAAGAGATAATGTTAAAATCCGAATTGCAATTGCTCGAAACACACAAACAAGCCTATGAAAAGTATGTCATCGACGAGATGGCTGCTGAACATGGCGACAATATTTTTCGACTGCTCTCTTACCACTGTGAGCTAAACCCAATTGAGTTAGTATGAGCTTAAGTAAAGGGGCATGTCCTTAAGTGATATAAGTAATTAAAAAAATAATTTGTCACATTATATATATATATATATATATATCTAAACCTTATTAATTTTGTATTATTACGTTTTAAATAAGTACCTACACCTATTTTTCAGGATAAATTATTATAAAAAAACGATACTTGATTTTATTAATGCTAATTTCCGATAGTGACACATCAAAATTTAGAAAAAAAAAATGCTAATCCACGTAATGTAAGTTAAGTCTCACAAAAAAAAAAACAGACGATAAGGTACCTGCATGCATAAGGCCTGTCGGTTAATAAAGCCTAAGAAACAAAATCGTATTTATAATAACAGCTCTCGCTTAATGAGATAATAACAGACTCCTATTGTACGCTAATGTCTCATTAAGTTTGTAAAGCGGGAGCAATTAGCTTACGGAGTTTTATTTTTAAATAAATTTGCTTTTCCGGAACATACAACACGGGTGCGTTCCATCTTTAAATTTCGAGCATCTCAAAACTTATTGAGTGACCTACGTATCCAATTATCTACTTACATACCTATACCTACTTGTCTTTTGTATTTAAAATATTTTAAATTATAATAACACAAAACACTGAAATTAAAACTTCGTTTACTAACAAAACTTTTAACTAGGTAGAATAGGATTACATTTCTGTTAGGAATCGTATTTCAAGATTATTTGTTGTTTACACTATCTGCTTTTTTCTTCCGAGCCAAGCATTGCGATTCCCGACAAATGGCCTTACAAGTTGCATGCGTCGGGCATCACAGAACTCACATAGGTGCGAAAATATGGTCAGTCGATCATAGTCAGAATAGGTACTTCACCTAATTAACTTGATTAACATTTCGGAGTGAAAAATATGTATAAATATTTTTTATTCCTTATTTATTTATATTTAAAATATAAATATGAAAAAAAATACTTTTTACTTTTTATTGACATCCCTTAGTAACCACAGAAAATCCGCCATGACTTAGGAAGGGAAAAAATGCAAAGTACACTCGCTAGCAGCAATAAAGTTTTATTTAGCGATTTATCCAATCCAGTCAACGTCAGAAAAGTGTAACATCTGTACGTATTACTATTATTTATTCTGTGGCATAGGGATGAAACATTGCTAAACTCTTGACTCCGGGCTGCTACTGAACATTTCTTGATAGAAAACCCAACTGATTTTAAGCCCGATCACACCGATAACTTAAATGTCAAAAAACATTCCAAGGTTGAGTTTAGTTTCATTTTCAAACTGTTAACAGGATGAGACAAAATATAGATACTTACGCAATTTCGTTTATTTTGTTAGTGTAGGTGCTTAGTTTTAAGTAGGAATTGGATTGTAGTTTTCATTTCAATTTTTTTTATTTAATATCAATAATTGATGTTGCTTGCTTATTTAGGGCAATCTCTTATTTGATGTATGGAAACCAAGTTTTTTATTTGCTAGAGAATACTATTGGCTAGAGAAATTAGTGAGCAAATTAGGGATTGCTATATTTCGTTTTTTTTTTCGTTTATTTACAAAATAAAACACAAGCCTACAGTTTTCCCTATTCGTTTTTTGATTCTTTTGTGGGTCCGTTTATTTATTCGTTCGTTTGTTTGTCTCATTGACCGACTAACTGAATGTTTTATTCAGATTGGTGTCTTTCTAAGTCTTCACGACAGTTTAATTTACAAAGAAATCTTCATCACTCAGAAAAGCAAAAGTACTGATTCCACGCGAACGAAGTCGCGGGCTCGCGGGCACAGCTAGTCTATATCATAACCCCCAAATAAATCTTTGATATGTTTTGTAATATTTATTACACTTAACTATCTAAAATTGTAATCATTATATTTGTAAATAAATGCTTTGTTGATATTGAAGATTTAAATAACGTACCGTCGTCATTTTTTTTTAAAATTGGTTTTTCTTTAATACTTGGTCGGCGGTTATTAAGGCCTACTAAATTTCACCATACGCCTTATGACTCCCTCTTCTTGTGTAGTTTTTTGTTTTACAATTGTGGCAGCATGTATTTGAATTAATAAAATAAACTAAGACACCCGCCATAATACAGTAATAATATAGTTTTTACAATGATTTCAAAAGGAAGGATAGGCCCATCTAAATATTTTACTCATAAGTTTTTCACACAAGAAAGAGTAGCGCATCTGTCATAATACAAACGTCATATCTCAACACGACGTAACCAGGGTCGGATTTCGTAGTATAATTATCCCAATTGTATCATTATTTCATAGTTGTAGTGTGGCCGTGAAAGGAAAAGGGGAGATCTCCCGCCGGGCAAGGTGTTCTGCCCGGGGAGCGGCTCACACTCCGTGTGATAGTTCGGAGATGTTCTATATATGCTGTTTATGATTCGGAATGTTGATAGCGTGATTTAAGCTTCGGTGTGTTTCGCTTGCGGCGCGACGACAGCGCCGCCACAGTAGTATATACTATCGCGAAGCGAAAATACAATAATTTTACCTAAAGTTCGACTTGTATTATTATTGGATCCTTTTAATTTTTAATATTAACACTACGATATCGAGAATTTCTGTATTGTACATGAGTACCGTATTTTTTTTGAATAAAATTAGAATTAGCTCCTTTTCTGGTCAATCGGTGCACGATCGATGCATTTATGTTGCATCCTTGATACAACTTTAATGAGGGGCTACCACGATAAAAACTCTATGCTTCAGAAGCAATCGATTTGAAAACAGAATTTCAAAATATTTTATGAATAAAGAGTTTCAGATTTAATTAAGCAGATATGGTTTCTTTTGTACTCTTTTCGTTTTACCCTTATTGAATATAGAATATAATATATAATTTTTAATACTATATATAAATTTAAATATTGGTACCTATTATATTCTATATATTAGGTACCAATATTCAAAACTTAACTTACACTAAGTTCTTTATACAAAAATTAAGCACTTGACGCGTGACGCAAAAACCCCGGCACATGGGAAAAAAGAAATATGATACGTCAAACTTGATACAATTTTTTTAAAATAGTATAATTTTATTTTCCATGTACAATATTTTTGAGGGTCTGAATCAAACCCTGGGCTAATTTTGGTAACGTAACTAAACCAATTGTAAAACTTTAAAAATGCGTTTATATAATAATTTAATTGTAACAAAATTAATATATGGTTATTTACCGATGATACGATATCTCATGTTCCTTTTTAATCTTTGTATCGTAGATTTTGCATCTTTTTACCATGCAACTGGACATATTTATGACAGGCAAAACTGTCCTGCGCGCGCACCACTGTCGACCGATTCGCGTTTGCCCGTTATTATTAGTGCGTTAATTAAATATGTAATATTTATGTGGTAAATCCATTAATAACTTTCTGTGCTACGCTTTGTGCTAATTTATAAAGACTATTGTCAATGTGAAATATTTAATTGTGTGAACTGCTCTACTTCCAATAAACTTTTATAGAAAGTAATTTGGTGAGTTGTTGATTGAAGATTTCCCCATACATCACTTTACAGGAGTTATTAATAGATTTACCCAAAGAGATTTAAATATATATATATATATATATATATATATATATATATATATATACTAACATACTTAAATATCTTTGGATTTACCACATAAATTATTACATATTTAATTAACGCACAGAACTGACAAGACAAAACAATAAATACTATACAATGACAGGTGTCTTAGTTTATTTTTCTATTTCAAATACATGCCGCCACACAATGTATTTTATATCACCTTTAAAATGTCATAAATGCAAATAAATCGTACGCTTCTATTACTGGATGTCGTAGTTAGAAAACGACCTGGTTTCAGCTGCCCAAACAGTGCAAAGACAAAGTGTGTCGAAGAAAGGCTTTGACATTAGGAGCTCCTAAGTTATGTGTAAATTATTGGTCCTGCACCAAAGCTCTCTCGGAACGTATTGGATTGCAATTTGATAATTGTGAGGGAATAGAGAGTACACGTGTAGATTGGCTAGGCTCCGTGGAGACTGGCTGCTAGGACAAAAAATCGGTTGGAAGGACATTCAACCTAACAAGCAACTCAACCTAACAGTCAACTCAACCTATCAACTCAACCTAACACTCATCTCAACTCGAGACACAACCGACGCACTGATAATAATCACGAGGAGTGCGTTTTTTAGTTTGTTCATCATTATACTAATGACTTGAAGTGCTGATAGGCCAGCAAAATTCTATTTTTTAGAACTTTAAATCTTATTTGCTGCATTCATGTGATTATTGATCATAAATATATTACGTATAGTTTGATTATTTGAGTTCGTTACAGCATTAGGCCTCATTACTCAACCATAGTAAAATAAGGCCTACTAGCAAGATTTTAATAAATGTTTAATATTGTTTTTATTTATTGCAAATGTTGCAATTTTTCGTTCGTACTTTACAGATACTGTATTAAGCCAATGGTTTTTATTAATCTGTCGACCAAATTGGATATTTCTCACTTTCTTTTCGAATTTCCCTTAACTTTTACATGGTAGAGCCATATTGTAGTACGAATGGGTCGGCTCAACCGGGGAAGCTTAACGCTGCTATGTTTCGTATGGTGAGGGTAGAGAACCGGAGACCTTTTTTACCGGAAAAGAGGCATTCCATCTTAGTCCTCACGGTTGACAACGCATTTACATTTTGATTCATGATCAAGGATAGATGTAGATCTCTATGGGCCGCAGTAACCACTTACGATCAGGTGGACTGTGTGCTCGTTTGTCACCCTCATCCTATAAAAAAAGCTAGACCTTATTACCCACAGGTACTATAGTTGTAATTTTTTGTATTTATTTTTCTTACGACTAGGTTACAACTAAATAATGTTTTTTATACATCTAATGCCCGAATTACTCCAACGCTACTCAATTTTGAGATGTTATTAAGTCTCGTGGTGTCACAGTTGCTGACTTAAAGTGAGAGACAGCAGTAGATTTAACGGCATCTTAAATTGTAGCGTTTGAGAATTTGGGCATTAAGTGACAATCGAGCACCAAGTTTACCTGATTATATGTGAATTATATGTATGCCACTTCGATATATAGATGTAGGTGCATCTAATATCGAATATGAATTATAATGCAGTTACGTTTTCACCCCTGAAGATAGAGATGGGATGAAACCAGGCAATTTCAATTTATGTTATACGCAAAAAAAATTTGAAAATGCAAGTCATATTAGGATATGACTTGCCATTTCAAAATTATTGATACCCTTATTGATTCCCCCACACTTCTTTCATTTGTCAAGATTAATACTAAGCCCCATCGTCGGTACACTTTCCTAAACACTTTCGCTTTACAAGTTTATAGAAATAATAGGTCCTATTACAATCCTCTTGTAAGAATGTGACTTATTGATTAATAATAGTAAAAATATAGACATTTTGAATAACAAAATTAAGAATTTCAAAAAATTCGTACTGGATATACTTTGTAAAACAAGGCATTCAAGGCTTACATTTAAATATAAATATAAAGGTAAATGAATATAATATAATGACATAAGTTAATAAGTATAGTATGTTTATAAGTAAGGTTATAAGTATTTGCGCTGTAAACTCGTTACTGTTACCAAATATCAAGTTGTGTGTTGGAATACCATCCAGATTGTAACTTTGCGTTCTTTATGTTCAATTGTTTATGTTTTTGTGTTCCATAAATAAATAAAAAATCACTACCCGTTTTCAATTTTTAAAATACATGATGCGGTGTCATGCAGCACCGCCTTGTGCATTTGATTCTGATTCTGATTCTCAGATAACTCGAGAGGTTGACCGGGATTAGCCCGTTCGCAGAAACGACTACAGGAATAATTTCGGTCGACAGACCACCCCCACATGTCGGTCACCTAGTGCGCCAGATCCAGATATTTTGTGTGTTTAAATTATAATTAATAATTTATTAATTATTAACAATTATTATTAGTATTAAGTTATTTTGATGAACTTTCAGGCAGCAGCTGGCTTTAAGAAAAATGGTGGGATAATTCCCTTCATGTTACACGTACCCGGCGGTGAAAAAAAACGTTAAGTTATTTCTATAGTTAATAGCTCTCAGAAATAAGAGAAAGCCTGTGCTCAGCTGTAAGGCATATATATATATACATAAATATATATATATATATATATATATATATATATATATATATATATATATATATATATATATATATTCTTCATATACTACATAAATCGTTAAAAATTGCAAAGTGCATCATTATTAAGTTGTTTATTGTAAAGCGAAGTATAGTGCGGCCCCCGCTAAATAGAGTGATGATCTGCAAAAAGTGACGTTACGTGATAGAACCATGCTGCATCGTTTTTATGGTTGTAACACCGATGGGTCGACCCGGTCACAGCATAAATAATAGTCGACTGGGTAAGGACCACGTTCTCATAGAATACCAGCGTAAAATAACAGCTTAATGCTACTATTTTTTGTATGGTCAATGTAAAGAACCGGAGATCTTTTTGCTCGAAACTTCCATCTTAGTCCTCAGGGTAGACAAAGCATCTGCATTTGATTTTCAATCGAGGATAGATGTGAACACAGAATCCATTTACCGTCAGATGCACTTCATGCTCGTTTGGCACCCCTATTCTATAAAAAAATTCGGTGGATGCAATAGGTTCATGACCTTGCATGATGGCATTCCTTGGGGGTAGTCTATGCAGACTTGTGTAGGACTAACATGATACTAAATAAACCGCTTTATACTAAAAATACTAAATAAACACTTTGAAATAAGTCTTATATAAGCTTACTGTAAACTGGTACTGATAAATGGTTCTGCATTGCTTCTTGTCATCTGTGACGTCAAGCTCCCGGAGAAGATAGTCTTCGTAGCAGGTTTCTGATATCGACTTCACGAACAGGTTGTAATAGCGCTCCTCGTGGCCAGCGAGAGGCCAGTATCGTTCACATTTTTTCTGAAACACAAGTTGCGAGGGATTTGAAATATGAGTATCTATCTGCTTTTACATCAGTCCACTAAGCTACTGGACTTAGGCCTCTCTCTTTTGGAGGTTTTGCTATAATCGCTTAGCTTGGGATTGTAAATAGACGGCTCGCACCCTGCTGCCCGTTGCCTGGCTAAATAATTTAAGTCTGAGGTAAGCAAGATGAAGTAAAGAGGGAAAAGAAACTTATTAAACGTATATGACAAACACACAACATTGAAATAGAAAAATAAAAAATAATATAGGACAAATTATAAATAAACCTAAGAGTAGTTATGCGAACCATACTTGACTTGGATCTCGATTTGCCTAGTGATTTGTAATCTAGTGTAAACTAACACCTAAATTCGAAATATTATTTTTGCAAGTAATATATATATATATATATATATATATATATATATATATATATATATATATATATATATATATACTATTTTCTTTTAAATCTTTACCGTCATACTATTTCTATGTATATGGCGTATTAATAATTATTATGATTATTTATAGGTATAAATAACGCATAATTTTACGAAAATAGTATAACGGTAACGTATTTTAAAAAAAATTGGATTAGTGCCTGAAAAGGAGCGCGGAAGCATTTCTGGTCCAAATGAAAAGGAACGGAAGCGTCAGAATGTTTATTGGGCCTTAATCCGTCGATCTACCAAGTACTGGCCCCTTGCCTATGCCACAACTCGTTGGGTCAGAGAAACAACGCGGTGGGCGTAGCCCCCGATAACGTTAAGTCAGAAACGCAAACCGCTCTTTCTGAAAAGAAAAAGTGGTTGACGCCTGAGATTACGGGTCCAGCATTCGGTCCCGGTCTAGACGTCAGACTTAGTGGACTGTATATTTTTTTAAGTCCCTAACATATAGGGTAGATACTGATAAATAAAAAAGCAATTACTTGCTGCTATAGGAAATGTGATAACTTTCACTTTTAGTTTCACTATTACTTTTCCGTTTTTCTTTCTTGTTTATATCTTAGAACTGTAGCTGGTCTCGAACGTATTACAAATAAATCGATTTACTTAAGACGACACACCGAAAATGAAAGATTAAAGTGACTTCGGGCTATCTCCGGAATAATCCGAGTGAATACATCATTTCTACAAAAACTTAAAAAACGCCTTCTTTTGGTCTAGAATTGCGTAGCGCCCGCGACGATTAAGACCGCTTAGAAATTGTCAGAATCTTAAAATATTAAAAAAAAATATTGATTTAAAGTAATGCGCAAGTAAATTACGAATATTGATGTTATGAATACATATATTTGAGTGATTCCCAAACATATAGATTAAGTAATTTCGTTGTAATTTCTACAATAGTGATTATTAGAGGTGTTTTCGCAAATAATTATGATTGAGTCAAAATTATACCGTCGTGTGTTTGAACAAGCAACAAAGACTTAAATTTACCTATATCAAAATTCCTGTTTCGTTAGTGGTGTTATAGTCCTATACAGTTCGATGCGAGGAGGAGCATTTTTTCGCGGTGTCGCCTTAAGTACTCCCGCGCTAAACCGAGATGTGAGCCAGGCGGAAAATCCCCCCAAATTCCCGCATAATTTGCGTTATCACATTTCCCTAATTCGTGAAATATTTTTATTATTCATAAAAATACATATTACAATTACATTTTTCAAATAGAACAAATTAAATCACATCATAAAAACGATCAAACATTCACATTGTATAAAACAATAATAAAATACAAGACATAACATCATAATTTACGAATTATTTTATGTGGTCATACACCTTAAATACTCTAAATATAAACTTTATTCATAGTACAGTCCTTATCATTCCTTTTATCTATCTTAAACAATCTAACAGTTTAATGTGAGAATTAAAACTTTAAGCAAATTCTTAAATAAAGTTTTAAGCGAAAATGCACTTTTAATATGACATTTAATTTTTACATTATTTCAATATTTTATTGTTAAAACAAGGTTCTAATAATATTTCCTTTATCTTATGTCGATACAGCATCTATATAATTAATTAAAAGAAGCTTTAACATTTATTTCAGAAATCTCTAAAAAATTGCAAATTTTAATAAATTATTAATCACATGGTTAATGTCTCTAAAAAGCGTTTCACCCTTAACCATGAAACGATGGGAACTACTACTGCAATTCACCATATCGAATTCTGCGGGGGCCTGGGCAGTATATAAGAGATTTTCGCCCTCTCTTTCCAACAATTATACCTATCCTTGTCTTTTTATTTACATATACACCCTTTCATTCTAATCTCTCTTTCTAATAGATTGGAATGGTTTTTTTTTATAGAAGAGAGGGCAAACGAGCATACGGCTCACCTGATGTTAAGTGACTACCGCCGCCCATGAACAACCGCAACACCAGAGGAATTGCAGGTGCGTTGCCGGCCCTTTAGAAAGGAGTAAGCTCTTTTCTTGAAGGTCCCCAGGTCGTTCCGGTCCGCAAAAATCGCCGGTGGTAAACTATTCCACAGAGAGGTTGTACGCGGGAGAAAACTCCTTTTGAAACGTACAGTAGTGGACCACCAAGCATCCAGATGATGTGGATGGTATCGGGACGTTTGCCGCGTAGTACGTTCACGAAATTTGGCGGCTGGGATTAATCCGAACAATTCCTCAGAGCACTCTCCATGGTATATGCGAAAGAAAATGCAAAGAGATGCAACATCTCTTCGCAGTGCCAGTGAATCGAGCCGATCGGGAAGCACTCGGTCGTCGACGATTCGAGCCACTCTGCGCTGAATGAGGTCATGTGGAAGGAGCTGGTACTGGGGAGCCCCAGAGATCGGAACAGTATTTCATGTGCGGCCGAACCCGTGCCTTGTAAAGTTGCAGGCGGTGTGCCGGCATGAAATACTGTCCCGCTCTGCTGAGCACGCCAAGCTTTTTAGAGGCCAGTTTGACCTTCTCTTCCAAGTGACCACGAAACTGCACGTCACTCGATATGTCGACGCCGAGGATTCCGATACTGGCTCAGGCAACAAGGAGAATGCCTTGAAACTGAGGAGATACGACAAAGGGGTTCTTTTGAGCGGTTAACGCGCAAACTTGTGTCTTCTGGGGGTTAAACTGGACTAGATTTAGTCGCCCCCAATCCGAGATTCTGTTCAGCAAAGACTGGACTTCAGACACAAGTTTGTACCGGCACTCGGAGACGTTTTCCCGAGAAATATTGGCTCGGCCGGTGTAAAGAGCATCACCAGTGCTGCATCTGCATAGCAAAGAATGTTACGGGTTTGCAACATATCATTGATATGCAGAAGAAACAGCGTTGGCGATAGCACGCAGCCTTGTGGAACACCAGCATTAATAGGCTTGCAATCGGAGCTTGCACCGTCTACAACGACCTTGATGCTCCGACCTGCAAGAAAGCTGGTGATCCAATCTCACAATTTCTCGGGAAGCCCATAGGAAGGGAGCTTCGAAAGAAGCACTTTGTGCCAAACCCGATCGAAGGCCTTCGCAATGTCCAAACTAACGGCCAATGCCTCCCCCTTGGACTCTACTGCCTCCGCCCATCTGTGAGTTAGGTAGACCAGAAGATCACCAGCTGACCGACCACGGCGAAAACCGTATTGGCGGTCACTAATCTAAAGTTTTATCTTAATCACATCTCTGTTACATCAACAATGTGCTTAAAGCCATAATTGTTTTTAATTCTCTTATATCGTATTACGTAGTTGATTACTACGTAACACATGACTCGTAAGTTAACAAAATAACATTCATTCATTGTTTTTCAATCAGAAATTGGCCTTTAATAATAATAATAAATGATAAAAAAAAGGTTTATTGGTCGGACAACAAAGATCCAAAGTGGTCAGTAGATACAATAAAAGATTAATGTCTATTTTAGTACTTAATAACTAAGAAGGAACAAGTTATAGCACACACATGAGCTAAAAGTGGATAGTCCCCATTTTCAGCAATGCTTTTCAGAATTATATTACGGCTGCCACGGATTCTACGCAATAGGGAACCTGCTTTTTTACGCAAAATAGCCGGGAAACTATCGACTTGCGCATTCGCAAACACACCCGACGCTCTACAAAAATTATTATATTGAATACGAATGGCGCCGTATGATTTCTGTGTATATCTGACCCACAGGTTACTCGAAAAAAATTATGTGCAGTAGGCTTTGAGAAACATAATTTTTACTATGTCAGAACAATGATAAAACCTGCGGGCCACGATGTTCGCCCTAATCGACAGCGCCCTTCGCTCCCTTTCTATGTCAGCATCATCTTTGAGATCATTAGTAACAATATGCCCCAAATACTTAAACTAATACACCCTACTAAGAGGTAAGCCATACAGGAAAATACTTACGTTACTGTACGTTACCAGGACATTTGTTACCGGCCTTGAACACCATGTACTCCCTCTTTTTAGTGTTGTACAGTAATCAATGCATTTTGGCATAGGTTTCACATATTCCTAGCTGTTGTCTCAATACACTGTCCGAAGGGGCCAGCAGCACCATGTCGTACGCGTAGCTAATGTTATTTACGTAAAATTTTCCAATGTGACAACCGACACGTGCCTCACTAAGCCTCTCGATCAGTGCTTTGATGTACAAGTTAAAAATACCTGGAGATGTTAAACCGCCCTGTCTTATACCACAGTCCATTCTGTAAGCCTCAGAATATACATCTGACACAATTTGTTTGATTACCATAAGAAAACTTAAATAGGTTTAATATGTCGGGAGGCAAACCCACCTGTAGTGCTTTCCACATACTAACCAAGGCTTTGGACAAATCTAGGAAACAAGCATATAAAGGTGTACATATGCCTGTCCGTATAGTACCGGACGGTATGATTAAGGCTCAGCATAGCATTTTTTGTTGATAGTCCTCGTTTGAAACCAAATCGTAAATCATGAATCACTAAGTAACTATCCAACTGAGTATTAAGCACACCGTCAAACACTTTTGTCACTATCGTCGCTAACGAGGTAGGTCTGAAATTGGACCCAGCTGATACGTCACCCGTCTTGTTTTTGACAATGGGAACGATAACCGTCTTCAATAATTCATGCTGGAGATATGAATGCGCCACACAAATATTAAAAAGCATGCTCAGTACCCTAGGAAGGTGCGGACCCGCATTTTGAAAGTGCTCAATGCTGAGGCTGTCGTGTCCGGGTGATTTTCCTCTTGTCATATAACTACTAACGCTTGATATAGTCCTAACTGGAATATTAACAAAAATGCTTTAACACTGTAAGCATTTTTCACTTCCCTCAGCATCGATTTTCTTCGGTAGTTTCAGTGTATATAATTTCAATGGTCTTTTTACTGTTAAACTAGTAAAAAGACCATTGAAATTATTAGCTATTAACTGAAGGTCACTTGCACCATCAACAGATACAGGGCTTACATCCAGATACAGGGCTTAAGGTTGATTTCCAAAACTTTTTATATTACCATTTGCATGGTTAGCTGCCAATATATCCATTCGAATTTGATATTCGTGGTTTTGGCACCATCTTAGCTTGATTTTGAATATTTTACGATTATTGATCATTTCATTTTATAAGGGGCCACGCTTAGGCCTTCAGTATGATGAGCATCTTTGACATGTTTATTTCAGTCTAGGTTACATCTTGACCTAGGTCTACGCATATCTTCATTCAAAAGTGTCAACAGCTTCGTTAGTTAATGTTGATATTATTAGTTTATAAATATCATCATTAACAGATTTATGTTTAATATCATTACGGTACTTATAACAAAGAGCCGTCGTAGCTCAAATGGTTAGCGCTCGCTGTAATTTCAATTTCACAATACGCTAGCAAACCGGGTTCGATCCCAGCCGGCACCAATGAAATTGTTAATTGCAATTTTAAGTGCTGATTTATCACGTTCTCGGCGGTGAAGAAAAACATCGTGACGAAACCTGCATGTCTGAGAAATAAGAATAAAAAATATTTCGGAGACATGTGAAGTTCGCCAACACGCATTAAGGCAGCGCGGCGGAGCGGAGGCCTGTGTCCAGAAGTGGGCGTAGGCTGTAAATTTACTTTACTTTTTATAACAACAACTTTACTTTACTTTTTATAACAACAACTTTTCTTTTTCTTATAACAACAATTTTTAAATTCTACAGGAAAATCAATATTTTTAAATTTTTCATTACACAACGTATCATATTCATTTATGTGACAAAGACAACGATCACCTCATATTTATGTTATTTATGTTATTAAACGAGCAATTCTTGTATATATATATATATATATATATATATATATATATATATATATATATATATATATATATATATACAAGAATTGATATAAATTTTTAGAAAATGTCTTTTTGTCTCTGTTTTCGGGCAATGAAAAACTGCTACAATATAAGAAGGTAAATTTTGACGTTGTATAAATGATCGTAATAGCTCAAGTGTCGCGAAGTCGCGTAATCGTAATGCCTTGGTTCGCGTCCTGTCTTCGGTCCAACTTTTTTCTCTTTTTTTTTTCAAGTTCCCTTCTTTTGAGAGAAAATCTATTATTTCGAGCCCTATTTTTAGTATTTTTTAAAAATACCAAAATTTTAATTAAACTAATTGCATAATTATTTCTAATTAAAACCGAGAAAAGCTCGGTCATTCAGATACTTACTTTACTAGCAACGAAATCACTTACAATTGTAAAAAGTACAACCATATTTAGTTTACAATAAATAAAAAACGGAAAGTGGTTTGACCAGTAGTATTCAGTGGCGGATTTACCAGCAGGCTGAGTAGGCTGGAGCCTAGGGCGGCAGATTTTTGGGGCGGCAAATTTGAAGCAATTTTTTTAATGTCATATAGAAATGAAGGAGATTTAAATTTTAAAAGGATAGCTGAAGAAATATTTTGTGCCATTTACTCGGAACTCAGTTTTTTCGCAATTTAGTGGCAACTGCGCCTGCTGAATGTTACACAAAAGTTTATCGCTTCTTCATGTTGCTTCAAGAGATCTATTTTTTTTTGTAATTTCGCCACAAACTATCCCCATCTCAGAAATGAGGGGATACCTGTGTCCAGCAGTGGGACGTATATAGGCTGTAACTTTAATTTTTTAACTTTTTAGCCACAACGCTGGCAAAAAAATAATGACTAAAATCGGGAAAAGGAAAACGCTATAGATAGTAAATCTGACACGTTGGTTGACTAGAAAGGATGCATGTGAAAGTTATAGAGATTCTTGGTATGAAGTCCTTAAAACGTTGGAATCAATCAAGAATGATTGTACTGGAAAGACTGTAACCCGAAACGAAGCGAGGGGAACTCTTTTAAACTTAGAAAAACTGAAAATGGCGGTAATGGTTGTTGTGTGGAATGTTTTTTCAGAAATAATTTACAAAATAAACGTTCAAATTCAATTAGTATTTGTAGACTTGTTCACTCTAGTCGGTCTTTATAAAGTTTTTCGAAGCTGAATGAGAAAATTTTAACAATTTTGAAGAAAAAGCGACGGAACTAATCGTGTCAAAGTAGTATACAAAAGACACGGGAAATAGACAACCGAAAAGAAAAAAATCAAATACCCGATGAAGAAATGAGAATAACTACGAATGATATTTTCAGGATTAACATATTTCTCATCCTCATTGATAGACTCGTATCGAAATTCGAAAAACAGCAGGACGTCTACGACAGATTCTATGAAAAGTTTTAATTTTTGAGCAAAAAGGGTGAATTGTTGTCATCAACTCCTACGGAAAACCCCTTTTCTTGGAATAAATGTATCCTTATGATTTAGAGACTGATTTAATATGGGAATGCATACATTTTGAATGGCACTGCTAGAAGAATTTTAGTGAAACCTGATTCTGGATTATTGAAAAATCTCTCCGTTCCTGCGAAAACAGAATTTGCAAAACGTTTATCTAAGTTTTAATGCAGCAGTCGCATGGCTTTATGTACATCAACGACAAATTGTTCGGATGAGAAAAGCTTTTTTTTGCTTAAATGATGATTTCGCGAATAAAAATTTAACAAAACAGTATTACGAAACTTCCTTACTTAATTTATTGAATTCTATCATCAGCCGGATTGTTACCAGATAATTGTATACATTGTCTTTAAACTGTAAACGCTACAAAAATTATTTAATTACATTTATAGAATGTAAGTAGTAACAATGAAATCATACCTTACCCCGCCTTATTAGTTGTACACGATTGAGTTTTATTAGCTCAGAAATATAACCAGAAAATATTTCTTGTGCAATCTTAACTAAATTTTTGGGTTGTAAAATATTCTAACAACTGAAACATCGATCCCCTATTTCACAATCATACTAATTACGGCAAAAAGGTGGTATAATTAGGACGATAGTGCACAAATCATCAAGTTATAATTTCATTGACAAAAAAATGTTATAAATATGATTGTGAACTAGTGTATCGAATTATAAAAGTCGGGAGGGGCGGCAAAATTTGAATAGCCTACTGGCGGCAAATGTGTGAATCCGCCACTGATCATATTTAACTTTAACACTAGTAACACAACGCTACGCTGCATCCGTTACAAGACAATGGTCCAACCAACTCTCGGTGCCATGAATCTCACTTATGTGCCTATAGGTCTGTGTTAAAATGCCTAACTTACTTACATCCGCACATGTCCATGACTGCTCCGTACAGAAGGTTCGCAACTCACTATAAAATAACTCTTTCGGATTTTGATTCATCTCGTGACCCTAACAGAACCCATGACGCGAAGCGCTAACATCAATAATTTTGTCGTCAAAACGTATTTGTACTATTTCTATAGGTAAGATTAGTATTTAGATTTATTAACAAGTGGTTTTAGTCAATTAAAAACTGCTTCATTATTTATCACGTTTTCTAATTGAAACTGACAACGATTTCCATAAATTTTATGAAATTAACATTTAAAATAATCTGTGCTAGCTCAAGTGAATAGCCGCCCGCCGTAAAATTAACAGTAGGCGAGATACTAAGTCCCAGATTTGATCCACGCTCGCGTCAATGAAATAGTTAATAATAAATTAGGTGCTTACTTACAAGAGAATTGTAAGTTTGTATAATATTACGAAGACATGTGAACTTCGTCAATACGTACAGACGGAGCTTCACCGACTAATTGCTCTATAATTCTCTGTGAAATGGGAAGAAGCCTACTGTGTCTAACAATTATAATTAATAGTTAATAAAAATTTAACATTTTTTTACCTTTCCCCCTTCTGTTTCATTTGTGATCATTGCAACTACTCTGACGTCTTCTTGCCAGATCATTTGCCAAAAATCATCCACGGTATTTGACAGGCAACCTTGCGTTGCGATGTAAACTTTGTCTTTTACTGGAATCAACAACAATGCTTCCATAAATTGAGAGTTATTGTTAAATAATCGAGTAGACTCTGTGATGGTCAACCACTAAGTAAACAAGCACAATGTGGAAATAGTTGGTTGAGTTCAGGCCTTAGCAAATTTTTTCTTTTTCAATATTTCCATAAAGCGCCTCTATTGGACACAATAAAAGCTGTATTTTTATAACAGTTACAAATGAGATGTGTAGTAAAAGTTTGTAAGTGGTTAAAGTTAATTCAGATGCGGTATCACCCTTCTAAATGGTAAGATGAAATTGACACAGCCTGAATTTATACTGACTCTTTGGGGAAAAATTGCGGTTTTAACCCAGAAGTACTTTAGCTCAATTTCCGCTTTAGCCCCTACACGTATTCTTAATACGATAAGATGGAGTGATAATTTCCTCGTTGTGGATACGGACTTTAATATAGTAAATGTAATATCAAACGTTACAACCATACTCGAACTTATAAGAAATATAAATACGCAGAATGGCGATGGAAAGCAGTGTTAAAGATACGAATATCAGCTCTGGCAATATGATTGCCAATTTTCCCACCAACTATTACTAAGGTTGAAATAAATATCCAGAAATGGACTGTTTATAAGCTAATGAGAAAGAATAGTTTTAAAAAAACTAAAGAAACACGATAAACATAAAATTACTTTCTTTTATCCTGGTAATCCTAATCAGAATACCAGAATAAAATTATTAAATTATTGTATTGTCATCGGCCTTTGATATCAGTGCAAATTTTCTAGTCAATCGGCCGTCTGCAATTTTGTGAAAATTACATTAAAAGATTCCGTTACATCTATATATGATACACACGAAGCTAATAAAAGTATGTTAAAAAGGGGTGGATACGAGGGTTACATGACTGATGAACTCCTAGATCTCTATCTAATTTAGAATTAAATTAGATATAAACAAGCTGCTCACAGCTGTCTACTTCGTGTAGCTGTAGAAACTTGTGACTACTATAACTGGCAGCAGCATTAAATAAACAAAGAGGCTATTGAAACAATTATCTTTACAGAAATATTGTTAAAAATATTACAAAGTTCTTTATTACATTGTAATTCTGTTCCATTTCTACGCATTAACGCGCATTTGTAATAGTAATTGAAATCCTTATCATCCTTTAACAGTCCACTGTTGGACTTAGACCTCATTAAAAGTTGTTCTCCTGCTCGTATTTTATATCAGTTTAGACGAATGTCGTTAGATTTTTCTAACAGAATATAAGATAAAGCCGAAGTTGGATTATAAATATTAACAATGGTGGTTAATATAACATTGGTTACGTAGCTACATTGAAATAGCAAATAGCATAAAATTTACAACACCTAATGTTGAACATGTATTCAATGTACTTTTCAAAGAGAAAGAGTTGAAGTTTGTTGATTTATGATATAGATGTTTTACTAGTTTTACATCTCATATATTTACTCGTAAATATGTCTTAACTACCAAGCTGATTAAGTTCTGCAGCACAATACTGTAAAAAATAATAATAATCTCAATAATATTATAACAGGTAACTTATTATAATTATCTCTATAGCATAATGTCCATTGGAATTTTGCTATGAAAAATCACGATTAAAAGGAAAACCAAAGGAATCTATCCAGCGGAAATTCTAAGATATAAATATATCTTAGAATTTCCGCTTCTCACTTCAGTTTCGCATTAACGAAAATATATTTATGTAAAAGTAGTTTTAAAGAAGTGATATACATTTTGTAAACACAAAGAATAAACAGTAACGTTATACGCTTTTTCTAGAATGTTCCAAAAAAGAAAAATGCTCACATGTCAAGTCAATGGCTAAGATTATAATATTTTGAAAAGCAAAATTTGTACCTGGAAAAAAGATAAAAAATTACCGTCAAACTATTCAATCACAAACCTTGGGTACTTCATTCCAAACCGTTACTTGAAAAGTTCTGCTGGATTTCTTGCTGTTTATTTTTTTTTTTTTGATAAAAATTATTTTTAATAAGTGTATTATTCGTAATTTATTTGATAGATAATGTATATTAGTTTTACCTACCTATATTTCTTCGTAAATTTCCATTGATTTTATCCATTCTGATAATTTTTTTCACTTCTCTGAGGGCATCATCCGACAGGGATTTTGTGACGAGTGATGCGGACTTTCTGGAGTCATTTCGGAGTATTAAAGCTGTAAGATATTCAATGTATAAGTATGTATAAGTTACTTTTAATTTAATTAATGGTTTTATGTATGTCATAATTTTTCAACTACTGTCATACTGGGCACTTCCATAGTCCTGATATTTCTCGAATCTATTTCTGTGTGTAATTAGTAGTGTACTAACTGCTGTGTGTTTTAGTTGAAATACTCTTATAATTATGTACAGCCTTTGAGTGATTTCATCTTAGACGTTATGGGTGTCAATGCAATAACAAAACGTAAGCTTCTTTGCATAAAAACGATTGTGGAAGTTTATGGGCTGCAATAGATATATAGGCTGCCTTTTATTTCGCAATTTTTATTTATTTTGACTTAGAATAGTAGTTTAAAAATAATTAAATGATAAAGTAAGTTTTCGACGTAGTACTGCCAATATATTGCAAAAATTAGGTATTTTGAGACATACTATATAATATGCTCTTCTATAAAATGCTACATATAGGAAACCATAAAAAAATAAAGATAAACAAAATAATATGTAATTGCAACTCCGTTGTCATTGCTAATATGTGTAAAATACGTCGAAATTGGTTAATTGTCCGTCCGTGTTTACCACTGACATAATGCAGGTACGGACGAACGGAGGAACAATATAGGTACAAATATAAGTGCATTATAAGAACAATATATATATATATATATATATATATATATATATATATATATATACACACCACTGAGAGGACATACCAGAGCACACACAAAGGATTCGTACCATTTTGTGAGTGAGATAAAAGACCTACATCTCGCTAACAATAAAACTATGGTCAGTTTTGATGTTCAGTCACTATTTACATGCCTACCTATTGTGGATTGCATCTCAATTGTAACTAGGAAGCTAGAAGAAAATAACATGCCTCAAGAATATGCAATACTACTTGAACATTGCCTCACATCTGGCTATCTATTGTGGAAGGAGGAGTTCTACAAGCAAGTAGATGGTGTGGCGATGGGCTCACCTGTGTCTCCCATAGTCGCCGACATATTCATGGAGGACTTTGAGGAGAAAGCCCTTCTTACTGCTCCTGTAAATCCAAGGTTCTACAAGCGGTACGTAGACGACACTTTCACAATGTTTCCATCTGACAAAGTAACTGCATTTTAGACCACCTTAACTCCATAAACTCTAAAATACAATTCACAATGGAGCTAGAGACAAATAATTCTTTAGCCTTCCTAGATGTTTTAGTTATCCGAAATCCTGATAACAATCTTGGTCACACTGTGTATAGGAAAAAAGACCCATACCAACCGATATCTAAATGGTGAATCTCACCATCATCCTTCACAGTTAGATACCGTGGGTAAATCTTTGTTTCAGAGAGCACGAAGGATCTGTGACAGAAAACATCTGGCCGCGGAGCTTCAGCACGTCAAGTAAGTATTGCAAGACAACAAGCTTCGGGTCCCGCGCCTACGTCACAGTGAACGAGTGAAGCCGGCCACAGTCGAGCGCGCGCCTGCTCTACTACCATATGTCAGAGGAGTCACGGACAAGATTAGCTACATCTTGAAGCGAGCGTCCATTAAGACATACTACAAGCCGCTGAAGAAGATTAGTCAATTTTTACCATCCATAAAATGTAATATTCCTCTACAAGATGCAGGTGTGTACAAGCTAGATTGTGAATGTGGTCTCTCTTACATAGGTCAAACAAAGAGATCTATAAAAACCCGCGTGAAGGAACATATAGCTGATGTGAAGCACCGACGCTCCGGGAAGTCTGCAGTCTGCGAACAAGTGTTCAAGATCGTCCCCACCATTAGGTACATTAGATTTGATAACCCACACATTCTCGCAAAAGAACACCGATTCCTACCAAGGATGATACGCGAGGCTATTGAAATTAAAAAACATCCAAATTTCAATAGAGAAGATGGTTGGGTGCTACCATCTGCTTGGGATCCTATAATTAACAAAATTAAACCCAAACCCAAGCATACCATTGCAAGACTTCATGATAATATAAGCTCGTTCTACGTAAATCGGACCAAAAATTAATTTTAAAAATCTAAAGGTAGCCGGACTAACTACGACATTGAGACGTCAAACATCTCAGTCACCCCGTGACCATGGGTGCTGTAAAGCACCCGAAACGTCGGGATAATAATAAAAATAAATTAAAGTAATTAAACGCGATAAAATCCGTAAATAATAGTTTTATTCAATGTGTAGTGTTCGCGTAAATTTAAGAAATCATAATGCAAATTTAAGTTGCAAAAGTGAACGGAAGATTCGAAAAGGGACGCCCTGAGCGAAAGTTTATCGACCAAATTGGCGATGTATTGAAAATGGGCCAAATTAGGAGTACCCTTAACCGACGAGCATGTGTGCGTAGGTATATGGATGTGAAGGAGGCGAGAGAGGTGTGTCAGGATCGTGCCAAATGGAATTTGTAGTCTCTGCCTACCCCTCTGAGTGATAGGCGTGAGTGTTTATGTATGTATGTCAACTTACTAACATTTTACCACTTATAGAAAACATGTATCGTGAATGGAATAAAATAAAAATAAAAAAATACGTGTGGCACTTGGTGACTGCCGCGGTAAAGCTATTGCATAGCATTTTTTATCAACTTATGCAATTATAATTATTTATTTATTTTATTTATGCAGTTAAGTCTTTGCTATTAAATCAAGTTACACTTTTTGAGCGTGGTGGCCAATAAGAAAACAATTTTTTTCTCTTATTGAATAAGTGAGAAGTTAATATTGTTTAAAATATTTTTAATATCTTACAATACATGTAGGTTATTCAGGAATTTTTATCATTGAGTTAGCAGCTAGTGTACACGCACACAAACACCGTGCCGAAGTCTGCCGAACTAAAACGACGTTAGACGATGCACGGCTTTCAACGCCACACCTCCGTGCCCGTCGGAGTGGGGAGCGTGAGGTTTTTTCGTTACGGAATTTCTGGATTCGGTCCCCGCGCTCAAGGCCCGCGATAGAAGCTATGCGATAGCTTAATAAAAATCTATATTATTTTTAGTTCCTCGATATTCATGGATTTATCATTCATCATCATCATTCACAGCCTATCAAAAGTTTACTGCCTACTCTCTTAACCAAGGGATGGTATTGAGTAGTGATTTCTCTTACGCCGTAACTATATTGTAAAACAGCCGCTCAATGGTGCTGTGTTTCGTGTGGTGATTGTAGAGAACCGTAGACCCTTTTAACTGAAAACGAGGCATTCCATCTTAGTCCTCAGGGGAGACAAGACATCTACATTTGGGTTCTTAATCGAGAATAAATATAGATGTCTATGGGCCACAGCATCCGATTACCATCAGGTGGAAGGTGTGCTCGTTTGTCACATTCATTAAACAAAAAAATCACACCCATGCAACCGGAACACAAAAAAGCGCAACTATAAAACCCGTAATAGCTTGAATAAGTTATTCACATACGTGTCATATTAAACAATTAAGGATAATACTTGATATTCCACCAAAGAAGGGGGGGGGGGGTCTTGTATAACAATACACACCATAGTGTACGTGACATGGGCATCATTGACACGGTAGTAACTCATTTGTATGGACGCAACATTCAATGACCAGAAGACAATTTTCCTTGTTTACACAACTGGCAGTTCTTAAACAGGATCTTGATTAGTGTTTAGCGTAAAGTTGTTTATTATTTATTTCTAATCATTCAAAATTTTCCGTACTTAATATCTCAGCATGTATTACATGCGTAATGCAGTAAGTATTGGGTACAAGACATGATATCGAAATATTTTACGTCCTTAAACAATATTTCTTTAAGTTTTTACACAGTATTTGTTATCGTTTGTTATATTTTAAGTAGGTTGACTTCGTGTGATTTGCGAACGGGAGTTAATTTATTTATTATTTCTGTCAGACCTTTACAATTTACTAGTGCTTTAAAGAGTTTACTTCACTTAGCCCTGAGCCTAAATATAAATTCTTCATATTTAGAACCTTGTCCGTAAATTTGTTTTATTACCACTGCATTATTATTCCCCTGACGACCTAATGTGTGGTATAAAGACCAGAATAATTTACTACTGCATTATGGACCTTGGGTCCGAATCTAAGTCTAACCAACATTATATTTGTTAAGCACGAAAATATTTTAAGCAAAATTTTGAGTATTCCTTCTTACACTGTACGCTGTTGAGACTCTCGTTTGAAGACTGTACGGAGCTAGATGAGTCACAGAGCCGTGACGACCGGATGAAATTCGCGTTGATATAATCGGTTTCTTGACCATCTCCGGTTTTCCGTAAGATGACACGCGTCTGGTCATCTGAAATTTTTTTAGTGAATTGATTATTCTCGTTGTTATAACAAGGATCATCATTTATCACATAAAATGCTAGAGTAAAACAGCAGTTCAATGCTGCTGTGTCTTGTATGGTGAGTGTAGAGAATTGGAGACCCTTTTAACTGTTCCATCTTAGTCCTCATGGGTGACAACGCATCTGCATTTTGATTCCTAATCGAGGATAGATGTAGATGTCTATGGGCCACGGCATCTACTTACCATCAGATTGACTGTGTCGTCTCGTTGACACCCTTGTTCTAAATCTATAAAAAATTCTTACTACTTTTCTTACCATAGAAACAATTTGTCGTACGTTATCGCCATGCTTGGCAAACATTAACAATCCTAGTACCAGACACATTTTGCATCCTTGACTTTACACTTGCATTTTACATCTGGTGTTAAACGTGATGGTTGATCCGCCATCGACATGAGGTCATGGTGTCCTTCTGAATGGGAATGTTTTGTAGTTGGCTCTCTAGAAACTCATGTTTCTAAATAAGGCAAACCTCTTAGTCATCCATCGCATGGCAATCTATCAGAATTTCTTAATATTTTTAGATGATTGCTTTTAAACTGTTACTGAGAAGAATTTTGTATTTTCACATTAAAATGTTTCTTTTGAAATAGTCCCGATGGATTTCTTGCTGGTTCTTCCTTGGATAGGGTTTTTTTCCTCGAAAACGATGATAGAATTAAAAAATAAACTTTTAATTTAAATTAAAAAGCTGACTTCAAAGAAATAAAAAAATTAAATAATTTCTACACTTCTAAACTCTGTGCTACGAGTAAGACATCAAGTAAAGAAAAGTTACAGCTCTGATTTGAGAATCTGTTATGTGGAAGCTATTTAATTTTTTTAGTTATTTAATTATTTATTATATATATTTAATTATTTTTAATTGTTTGAAGTCAGCTCATACTTCTTATTAAAAGTTTTTTGGATCTTTTGGGTGGTCGCAAGTAGAATCTTGAAATCTAATTAATTACATTTGAATCTTCATCACTTAAAATCCACCTTTAGAAATGGGGTAGTTGAGTGTATTCTACAAACGATAAAGTATCTACAACATATTTATTAAAAAATTAAAACTTATTTAATTTAAAAATTTCAATAAAATTGGCTCGTAATTGGCGAAGATATCGCATAACATACATACAAGAAAAGAGGGGAAAAAGCATATAGTCGAAATGAGATTCCTCATCTTTACCGAAGTCGGCTAAAAATTACTTTCAATAAGTGTCAAAGCCGTATAGTTGCGTAAGGAAATCCATCCCAAATACTATAATGGATCATTTCAAAAAAATGTTATATCTTTCGGTAGCTGGCGACGCAACCATTCCTTTACGCTGGGCGAATAATAGCCCAGAACAGCGGCGGGGAGCAGCTTCAAGGAGCGAGATATCTAGTTTAAGCTAATTTTTCCTAAAAAGAAATGGATGGAAAAGGTCCATTGCCATCACTGGACATTTAGGTGCTGAAATTGAAGAATTATTTATAATCTAATTGAAATTAAAATAATTCCACTAAATTTCATCGTAAAATATAACTCATGCACGCAAACCTTCGACGTGAATCCTGTTAATGGCATGTAAAGTATCATATAATGTATGTATTAAAATGAAATTGCTATGCAAGTCGAGAGTTCCAACTTTCTTTATATCTTATTAATTTAAAAAATAAAATAAAAGACGTTTACTCATGTTAATCAGAACATAATATTTTGAAAGACTATATTTTTATTCGTTTTTATTTATTTATTAGTTATTTATTTTTTATTACTTATTCTAAGGAATCACCTTGGTGTCTGTTTGTCTGTCTCTCTGAGAATATTTAGTGATTTTAATTAGGCGTATTCATAAATTGTATCTAGTTACCCATAGACAATGAGGTAGACCCATGCTGCAGATATACTATGGTTGTAACACGAAGGGTTCAACTCAACCGGGGTAGGACCACGCTCTCACAGAATACCAGCGTAAAATAGCAACTTACTGCTAGATAACGGCTACTACATAAAAAAAAATAAAAATAACAACCCAGTGCAAGAAATTTATATTTTTATTTTTATGCTGCTGAGTTTGTAATGGTGAGTATAGAGAATCTGGGACCCATTTTATTGGAAACGAAGCATTACATCTTAGTCCTCAGCGGTGACAAAGCATCCGCATTTTGATTACTATTCGAGGATAAATTTAGATGTCTATTGGCTACAACCACTTACGATCAGGTGGACTGTGTGTTCGTTCGTCGCCTTTATTCCATTCTTTAAAAAACACAGATGGATGCGACAGGTGACACGATACACTTGCATAAAATACACTAAGCAAATTTTGTTAATATACCTAAACTAGTCAGACCCCTTTTTATCAACTCTAATAAACTTACATGGTAGTATGTTCCTATATCGATTTTTAGCCATATTCTCGGTCTTGGTTCCCTCATCCATAGTGAAAACATGCAAATCTTCTATAATCTTCAATGAGTGAAATTCTGCATCAAATCCGCATTTGCTATCTGATTTTAGTATGTCGTCCATTTCCTGAAATATTGATCAAAAAATATCTAGTATTTAAGAGGTTAAGAGATTTAAATATTAACAAACATTTTTTCTAAAACGTTACAGTAGTATATTCTCCTCTATCGTGGAGGCAGTTTAAAAACATAAATTTCATAAGGGCAAAACTCCAGACCCGGACCAACTATTTGTGGGCCATATAAATATATACTTGTTCCGAGCGGGATTCGAACTCGCGGCTCTCAGCGCCGAAACTCATTGCGTCAGCGACTGCGCCACGGAGCCGTCAAATTGTTATAACATTCCTCGGCAGAAGTCTACGTTTTGTTGTGTATTTGTGAGGGACTGTGGCAATGAAAATGAATTTAATATGAAATAATGCTGAAAAAAAGTGTTCTAATGAGTTCAATGAAGGTATTAAGATTTTTTAGTCCAGTACTATATTCTACAAAATATTATACCAATATTAAATAAAGGCTATATCTGAAAAACACATTCAAATTTAGATAACAATTCGTTAAAACAATCACTAATAAATAATATAATAATTATTATTATTATGAATTAATACAACTATCTTTTTTACCACTCTAATTCAGCTCTTGACTATTATCCCACCTCATGGTGAGTGGTGATGCAGCCGAAGATAGTGAAACTCACTGACTTAACGAAAGCCTATTTTACTCTTGCCTTGACGACACCGTATGTCGTATCGGAGAAAAATACCTTATAAATATTTAGGCATGTCATGTCATGTCGATCATTTTCTCTTTATCTTCTAACCCTGGGTTGTTTGGTATACACTGCCGGAAGCTTCCTTCTGGATATTTTAATGGTATATTTTTATAATTTTTATGTATTTAATTAATAAATAAAGATATTCTATTACTCGATTTTAATTGTTTTTTAATAAATATAATTTGAAAAAAAAATGTAATGTAAATAAAAATGAGTCCTGGATACTTGAAATTAAATAAATAATAATAATAAATGTACCAAAAATAAATATAATATATAATAATATAATATAATAATAAATATACTAAAAAGTGGTGAAACGCAACCGTCGGAACTTCTCCGCCGCCTGGATAGACTACAGAAAGGCATTCGACTCGGTGCCCCATACATGGCTAGAGTCCTTGAGCTGTACAAGATAGACTGTACAGTTAGAGACTTCCTCGATCAATGTATGGGGCAGTGGAGTACGATCCTTTGTCATCTGAGCGAGCGGATGATGGCTGCGGAAAGCCACATAAGGATAAGAAGGGGTATCTTCCAGGGCGATTTCCTAAGTCCAATCTGGTTCTGCCTCTCTTTGAACTCTCTCAGTACTTTACTGGAGGCTTCCGGGAGGGGTTTTCAGCTTCGGAAAATGTACAAAGGTGATCCACTTTTTTTGGATGACCTCAAGTTATTCGCCTCCAGTCGCTCCCATCTTGTGGAATTGCTAAACATCACTTGTGAATTTAGCAATTCTATTGGAATGGAGCTAGGGACGGATAAATGTGCGATCCTCCATGTTGAAAGGGGAAGGGTTTCTAACTCTGAGGGCATAGACTTATCTATGCCCATCAGTTTAAGGACCCTTTCCGAGGCTGAAACATACCGATACCTGGGTGTGTCACAGAACATCGGTATCGATGAAGCTGGTATGAAACAGTCAGTTTGCGACGTGTTTTATGCACGCTTGACCAAAGTGCTCAACAGCCTTTTGTCTTGTGTGAATAAGACACACACATATAACGGTTGGGTCATGCCTGTCCTCATGTATACCTTTGGCATACTGTGGACTGAGACTGAACTTAACGCCCTGGATAGAAAAGTCCGCACTACTATGACGTCCCATAGGATGCATCATCCGAGATCGTCGGTAATGAGGCTGTACTTGCCGCGAAAACATAGTGGGCGTGGCTTTTTGAGCGCCCTCACCATGCATAATCGCGAAGTGTGCAGCCTCCGTAATTACTTCCTGGTGAGATCGGATGATCCATTCTATAAGGACGTCATGTTTTGTGATAAAGGACTTACCCCTCTATCCTTAGCCAATGGTAAGACTCGGCAGTGCCGAGCATTTCCGACCGGCAGACCGTATGGAAGAGAAGGAGCTCCACGGGTAGGCTCTACATGAGCCTTTCGTAGACACAGTATCCTCCCTCTACTGGCTACGCTTTGGTGACCTCTTCGGGGAAACCGAGGGTTTTGTCTGTGCTGTGTGTGCAACTATCGGAGATCCAACCTAAAGGATGGCACCGTCGACATCTGTCGAGATTGTCGCCATCCCGGCGAATCACTTAGGTATGTCATCTCCGGTTGTTCGGCGCTTTCTAACTCTGAGTACTTGCACAGGCGCAACCTAGTAGCCAGAATTCTTCACCAGGAGCTCGCTCTGAAATACGGTCTCGTGGACCGGAAATTGCCGTATTACAAGTACTTGCCGGAAGCCGTGCTCGAAAATGATCGCGCCAGGCTCTACTGGGCCCGGGCCATCATCAAAGATAGGACAATTCTTGCGAATAAGCCTGATATTGTGCTGATGGACCGGGCATAGTCAAGGATATTTGTGGTCGACATTACCATTCCGTATGACGACAACCTCGTGAAAGCCGAAACAGATAAACGAACAAAATATCTGGACCTGGCTCACGTGGTGACCGACATGTGGGGTGGTCTGCCGACTGAAATTATTCCTGTAGTCGTTTCTGCAAACGGGCTAATCCCAGTCAGCCTCTCGGGTCATCTGAGGAGGCTGGGACTCCGTGGCGGACCGCTTCAGGCTCGAATACAGAAGGCGGTGCTCCTGGATACCGCCCGCATCGTCCTCCGGTTTCTCTCCCTTTCCCCCTAACCCTCGGCCGTTTGATCTCCCCTGCCGAGGACCTCCATCTGGTTGGCCTTTTATTTATTTATGTATTACTTATTTATTTGTGCTGGTATATGAAATATATATATTTATGTATAATGATTTCTTATATTTACGCGAACACTACACATTGAAATAATACTCGTTTTTACGGATTTAACTATAAATACCCGACGTTTCGAGCGCTTTACAGCACCCATGGTCACGGGGAGGACTGAGATGTTCAACGTCCAAATGTCATAGTTAACAGCGTTTACCATAGATAAAAATTTAACTTTTGTTCCGATCTACAAAGTATGAACTTATAGTATCTTGAAGTCTCTTGAATCATTCGGTGTGTTGATGAAAATCTAAGAGTACAGACGGCGGAAAGCGGCTTTGTTTTGATATATAGAGTATGTAGAGATACAGAACATGACGGTAGAACTTACGACAAACGATATGTAATTGTTTTAATCCTACTGTGGTACTGTATTTAGCCTGATCTGCTCAGGTTTGCTCTATGCACCGATGAGACAAATAACTTGAGTAAGCGATTTTTTTATTAACTTACATGTTTGTACTATACAAATGGTCAAAAGAAGGTACTCGAAGAACCTTTCGTCGTTCTCTGTAGATAGAGTAAACATTTAAAAATGGTAGCTTTAAGAAAAATGTTGTTTGAAGAAAAAATTGAAAAAAATTTATTTTAATTAAGTGATGATACTAGTACAAGCAAATCAACAAAACTGTTTAAGAAAATCAATTTTTTATGATTTGTTGAAATCTAACACCATATTATATGGCATATCATCAATATCGTATTATCTGGATCATGATTGAAATTATATGACAGGGCACAGGTTCTAACATTACTTCGAAATTGATTTAAACCCACACAAACCGGCATTACTTGCACAAGAGATCAGTATGCATATGTATGGATAAATGAGTAATGATCACGTGTTGAAATTTATGCTTACCTGCAAAAATCATAAATATTAATCTGTGAGAACACGTAACAAGGACACACATGTGTACATGTTTATTCAGCAGAATGTGAACCGATTGGAACCGAATGAAATAGTAAAACTGTAGTATTTTTTTAAGAATAAAATAACACCTATTCAACCTGACGGTAAATGGAAGCTGTAGCCCATAGGTACCTACCTAAATGTGAGAACATGATGTTTTGTCACCTCTGAGGACTAAGATAGAATACCCCGTTACCAGTAACCAGTAACGCGCAGAGAATCGGGTATCCGGTTCGCTACACTCAACATATGAAGCATGGCAGCAATAAGCTTCTATTTGACGCTGGTATTCTATGTAATCGTTCTTCCCCGGTCGAGCCATCGACCCATTCGTGATGCAACCATAATATAACTACGGCGCGGCTCTACAACGTTAAAAAAGTTAAATCTAAAGAAACCAACCTCTGTTTATATTAAGTATTATCTATAGTACATTTTATTATACTAACCATGACTTTCTGATTAATATCATGAGCTCTGATGCAAGTACCGCTAACGGGCTGCAGCAAGCGCAGGACATCGCCGGAAGTTTCTATCATCGGATACGATCTGAAGTGCTCGATAAGGCCCACCAAGTCGTCGAATTGCTCGCCGCTACCCACGTCGTACTTGTCTTGCTGCAGATCATAAAATAAGGATATGAAGATTTATTCATTTCGACAAAATAAGTTTTTTCCAACATTTACTTTGTAGACGTTCTTAAAACTGTTTTTATTTTTTACGATTTTTTCAAATGATTATCGATAAAAATCAATTCTGGTATTAGTTCCATAATTTAAGGTTCATTGTAAATATCAACGACATTGATATTTATTTATTAATACGCAAAACACTTATGAAAATATCTAGTTAGTTATCCATAAAATAAATTATAACTTTACTGTATACAAAAGTGAAACAATTGAATAACTTTTTATATAAATGTATTTTTTTATTTTTTTAGACTAGTGGTCTAGTGGTTGTAACCTCGACTGTTGACCATGAGGTCCCAGGTTTGAATACCGGGTTGGGCTAAAAGAATCAGTTATTAATTTTTTCCGTCAATAAATTCTCTGCCCGAAATCAGGAAGTTCGCTGCGTCTTACCCCCGTGCCTCGAAAAGCACATAAAAGCCATTAGTTCTGCTCCTGATCTCTCTTCGATCATGTCGATTTACTATCCCATCGTATTTTGAGAATGAGGAAATAGTGAGAACGCCTGTGCTTGCGCATAGTATATCTTTCATCTGATCAGAGCGCATATCTTTCAATATTACTCTTTGTGATATTTAATGAACTAACACACAGCGCAGATGATTTATATTTTATCTATAAGTATCTGAAAGCACCAACATATTATATCGAAAGATACTGACAATATTATTTGTTCATATATAAATCCTACGCTGTACTTTTTTTTGTGCTGATAATATTTGTCATTATCATAAATACAGGTGATTGCTTAAAAAATGTAATTAAATTCGCCTCAGTCCCTTTTTAAAACTTTATATGATGTTCTATCAAATTCTTCGCCTTTTAGTAAACGCTAATGCTACACGTGCATCAAAGTCAAAATCTGATTCTGACGAGCTGTCTAGCAAATCTAGATACACCAACTCATTGTAGGTAACAGTCCAAACAACACGTCTAGTAAGTTTGAAGGATTTCGAGTGAATATATCGTTTCGTATATTATCGTTTCTGCCTAGTGTGTGATACTTTCAGATAATTAAATTTCTATATGCAGATAGAATATTATCGTATGCGAAGTCTGTTACCCGTTTAAGATGGAATGCTTCACAGAATTACATGATACTGGCTCTCCATAACTTTCAGAAAACAAATATTTAGATCAACTAAATGCTTAGCTAGAACTTAGAATGTTGTTTTTGATTGCTTTATAAATTTGTAGAATTTACCCCAAGATCCTTAGAATGTTGTTTTTGATTACTTTATAAATTTGTAGAATTTACCCCAAGATCAACAACATTTCAATATTCAAATAATAAAACACTTAAGTGGACATTAATATTTAGTTCCATACGACCTATTTTTAATTTTTTTTATAGAGTAAGGGTGAAAAACGAGCAAACAGTTCACCTGATGGTAAGTGGATGCTGTGGCCCACAGACATCTACATTTATCTTCGTTAAAAATATAAATACAGATGCATTGTCACCCCGGTTCTTACCACTGATGCACTCACCATACGAAACACAGCAGCATTAAACTGCTATTTTACGCTGGTATTCTGTGAAAGCGTAGACCTATAAGCATGTTTAGCAACTGAAGTATATTTATTACTATTGTATATGTTGTCAGGAAGATTCAGCCTTCCATCTTCTGCTTCAGATTTCCTCTGTCACCTCTAAGTATACCCACAGAATGATATGAAGTACCTAGTGCAAATTAACTTGGGTAAATTAAGAAAAAATTAAGTGACAGGTCACATTTGTCCGAATGCGTGTTTGAGGACTTCACGTTCTTTTAAAAATACTAATTTAAATTTGCATCATAAGTTGTAGCCTACAATTTATACTTTTATTAACCTCAAGGTGCCCAGCAATATATTTGTAAATATATAAATACAGCCCATGCGTCATTTTAATGGACATTCCTTATGATGGCGAGCCACCCAAACATAATATTTTTTAATGTAAATGATATTTCATTGTTTTTCTATTTTTAGAGAGTAATAAGTTGATAATAAATATTGTAATTACGTTGGAAAAAAATCATTTAATTTAAAAGAACACTGGGCGCATATTAAAATAAATATGTAAATTTTAAAGAATTGCACCAACAAGAATGGGATGTACGCTAGTAATGTACTTATATAAGACAATGGATGTTAGGATAATATGTTTATTTCAGATAAGCTTAATTAAACTAAATAGTGCCTATGAAAAAACAACAATGTATGTTAAAGGTCATTCTTATATTATATTTAGTAAAGTGTCTGTCTCAATACTATCGGACATTGATTCAATTGGACATATAATTGGTGAAGAAAAGCCACATACTGCGATTTCATGGACAACTACAAGATCTAACAAAACGAGGGAATAAAACTTTAAAATATAACCCACTAACTAGGGTAACTTGATGCGTAAAACAACACTTAATCTTGCTTATGTTTATAGAATAAATAAATAAAATTATCGACTATAAATCTATATAAACTTTATGATGCTATACATTTATATTTTATAGCCAAAGTAAGTTAAGTAATTGAAAACTTAAAAACTACATTTTGCCTTTTTTTGTATTATAAAATTATTGCACTTTTTTAATTTCATAAACCAATTCTCTGCGAGATATAATCGGTGGTAATGATTAAAATATTTTCCCAGTTCTAACGTCAATGATTGCCTGCTATCTATAAAGTGGGTTAATCGTTTTTGAAATATATGTACAATAGTTCAGTGCATATTTGATACAACATTGTTGATTGAATCTAGTGTTCAACAATCAAGTCAAAAATGTTAATTTGTTGCTTATCGCCATCATAAGTTATGCTACCAAGCACGGTCCTGAGCCACCTGTATTTTTCAAGTTCTTACATTTCTTACTAGGTTGTCACGCTATTTTTTTTTCATAGGATAAAGTAAAAAGTAGTGACAAAGGAGCCTCAGCGCATTTGATTTGTCCATTTCATGTTTTCATGTTTTGTATTGTCAATTTCATGGTCAGGTTTCCTTACACAATAGTAACACAATACAAATGTACCATACGTGGTTCATGGGACAGGGAATGGGTTAAGTATGAAAAATAAAAGTGGGGCGAACATTAAAATATATACCAATATTAAATATTGTACGACACAAGCAATTTTTTTTAATGTAGTGGTACATATATTTGTGTAAAAATTCTTACAAGTCTATATCATATTGAACCAGACGATTATTAAACGACCCAGACAGGGCAATACCCGCGCTGTAACTACGCATTTGTTATAATTTTGAATAATTATTATCGATTTTTTTGATTTGACGTTTATTTAATTTTCTTAAAAGCGATGAGATGAGCAAATGAGACTTGGTTTTTAAATGACCGCGCGTTACCAAGAAACGCAACGATAGTTTAAAATATAGCGTCATACTGAAATTAAATGGCGTTTAAATAAAATTTGCAAAGACACTTAAATTAATCGTTGGAAAATCAAAATTTATAAAAGGTTATTTTAATAAGTTACCATAATACAAAACGAATAAAAAACACTTACTTGCATACAAATTAGTTTGATTTTTTTTAAATTAAATTAAATAATTCAATAAAGTAATTAGAAAATCAGTAATAATTAAACCTACCTTGAATCACAAAATTTAACAGAAACACTAAATTTCCCTCAACCTAGGGCTTTACGTCTGAATAAAACCTAGACTGAACGTATAGACTAACCCGTACAAGCGCTGCAACTAACCTGAAAGACAAAAACCCAGACGGTGCTTTATGCGCAGATGCAGTATGCATTTCCTATGTTCGCACCAATCGTCGTGCATTTATCTCCATCCATATCATGTTTTCCTAGTACTTCTTATGCGCCAATATGCACTATATTCAAACTGCTAGGTAGTTTTTAGGTCACAAGTTATGCACTAGTTAACCTTACTTGACGTCTAGCTCGTCTAGGTTATTTTGCACATGCTCTGTAAACAACCCTGTATTTTGTGACGTTTATGCGATCCTGGTAAGATACAGGCCATTGTGGGCATTTAGATATGATGATGATCAGCTAACATTGTATGTTAGTTCCTGAAAAAAAAGCAACTTGTGTTCAAATCAACAAAGGTAGAGACGACTATATTAGACGTGTCTTATAAATTCAATTTTGAACATATTCGAAAAATATTTAAATCTGATACTACTTATTTAAAGCTGGTAATACTTTTTTACGTCTATCTATAACATAAAAAATATATGTTAATAAAAAAATAACACAAAAACTTTAATTATTATCATATACTCCTGTGTATATAATTTCAAAAACGCTGGCTGCGATTTCTTGCTGAATGGTTATAATGCCTTTGAGCGAAAAAATAATCCGTCCTCTTTTCAACAGCGGCGGCGAAAAGTTGTGGATACAGTATATAATACGTACGGAACATCACTGCACGTGGACCCCACGGACCGATAGTTTTAGTTACACTTGATTTTAAAGTTGAGCTACCTAAGTTGTAAATTATTATATATGTATTTAGTATTAAGATGCTCTATAGTGGTTCGCTATCTTTGGACCTATATACTAACGTGCTCAAGATATCTTTAGTACAAGAAGGTTATCAAATCAGAGACATTGATTTATTGAATATATTACTATGTCAGCTTTTTGGTAATAAGACGTGTCTACTCGTCGTTGGTCTAGTGGTTGTAGTAGTACGACTGCTGATCATGAGATCCTAGGTTCGAATCCCGGGTCGGGCCAAAAATCAATTATTGAGTTTTTCTGTCAAGAAATTCTCAGTAGCTGCCCGGAGTTGGGAAGTTGACGGTGTCTCACCACCGTGCCTCGGAAAGCCTGATCTCTCTCCGATCGTGTTGGTTTACCGTCCCATCGGATTATAAGAGTGAGGGAATAGAAAGTGCACCTGTGCTTGCGCGCATACACTTGGGCACTATAATCCTGTCCTGCGTCGATGACTAGCCTCCGTTGAGGCAGACTGCCGTGGCTGAAATTCGGTCTGGAGGACATTATTAATACGACATGAATATTAAAAATTGCCATCGTATAAAGATATAATAATGTAATTTAAATATTAATCTAGAAATCAAAAGCTGCGTCTTTGCTACGGAATATAATTTAATAGAATATTTCGTTTTCATTCAAAGTCATTTTTTCTCCTTTGACCACTGGTTCGGAAAATAATAGGATATTTTCCAAGAAGAGACAGCAAGAAACCTAGCTATTATCCACAGTAGCATTACCTATTCATTCATCATCATTTAAACAAAATTGAAGTATTTGCTAGTTATATAAAAAATAATTAGCTCCTATCAAGTTCATGCTCATCTTTTTTAAACTTGAATAAAAATAATTTTAATAATTTATATTGCAGAAGTGAACGGCAGAGTCGGAAATGGACGTCCTAGGCAAAAGTTTATCGACCAAATTGGCGATATATTGAAAATGGCCAAAATTAGGAATACCCTCCGACGAGCATGTATGCGTAGGTAATATGGATGTGGATTATGGATTATTTTGACTAAAAAAGTACCTAACTATTTGTCAAAATACGTTTGAATGTTTTCGTCGTTCAAAATAAGTTTACACCTGAAAATTCATAGTTATTACTTAACATATTTATTTTGTAATAAATTCAATATTCATCATTAATATATTAATGTGTCGTTATTTCGATGTTTTTCTTTAAAAAAAGGTTTAATTTTTTTGGAAAAAATCTTGTAGACGTATCACTGTTCGTGAAATTTCATCGCATTCAAAAATGAGCCATTAGCCAATTAAACCGGACATTCAGACAGAAAAACATTTTTGGTCACACAGTCTTTGTGAAATAAAGTTTTACACTTAAGTTAACAGAATACAATTGTAAAAACACATGAAACATACGTCTGGGTGTATATTATTAGTGCCACAGTGGTGCCCATATGTAACTTTTTTCGCGGTAAATTCAAACTATTGTATTCTATAACTTTTAAAATTTTTGTTTTTAAGGCAAATTCGAATAATTTTGGCTCAAGCTTCACAAATCTATTGAGTAAATTAACAATGAATTTGAGAGGTTGCACAAGAATTACATGAATTTTCTTTAGAAGAGCATGTGGGATAAAATAAAATTATATACAAGTAGTCCCAGAACATAACGGTCAAATGAAAGGAGATTGTATACCAAGGACTGTTTAAAAATATTAAATCCTATACCCAAGTTGCGTGGTTTAAAAGATAATGTGTGAATTATAAATATATATATATAGAAGTGATTTATAAATTTTCCAGAAAATCCTTTGCGTCAATACTTTTGTTACTGCAGCTGCAAATGAGGAGCGATTTTAGTTTTTTTTCTTCTGTTTTGAACAGCCTAATGATATGCCTACTATACCATAGAATAAATAATAGACTATACCTACTATTTTATTTTTCAGTACCTATTACGGTTTGGTAGAAATAAATACATAAAAATTCGTAAAAGTGTAAAAATGTAATATTAAATTTATCGAGCAAGTTGGACTCTCTAATGTAAATAAATGTACCCACATGGATCCGGTAACTGTATGCAAAAGTGGAAATCAGCAATACTCTAATAGTGAAAACATAACGCAGTCCAAACTTTTTACTTACTTCATCTGAAAATGATAACATTCGAGTCAACATAGTCCCTACAATCAAAAAAAAATACAAAACCTCACCTACAATCTGTAATAGAAATATATTCCCTCAAATATAGTCCCTACATCAAAATAAAAAATCAATGAATTTAAAATATTTGTAGACTTACAACAAAATTTTGATAAGTTTTTCTTTTCATATTTTAGGAAACCTGCGGAAAGTGATAAAATCATTTTGTGCTTTTTGTTGAGTTTTTAATGACAAAAATTGCACTTTTAAAGCGTAAAAAAACTACTTTTGGCGCCCACATCACCTTAAAATCTAAATCTATGAAATAAATTTGAATTAATCAAAGAAATTTAAATATATAATATAATACTACTACTTAAATGTCTTTGAAATTAGTTTAAGAAAATATTCAACCCGAAAGAAATTGACAAAAAAACCTATTTTTTCTTCTTTTAACATTGCTTTTATTCTGCTAATATTAACAATTTAATTTGAATAAATTATTAGGTATATTTTCCACGACTTGTTAATAATTGAAAAATTCTAGTTTATATTTGAGAGTCATTAAAAACTACTAAATTTAACAAGGCGTAAAGCTTTGTTAAAAAATAGTTTTTACTATGGATATAAAATTTTTAATTGTGAAGTTTGAATTTAAGCTGGCTCGAGATTTGCTTTGTTGAATATAAACCTCCTAAAGCTCATGGTCTCCCAGTATACTTGGATCGTCTTTTTTGAATAGTTATGGTGTACCTCGAATTTTACTTATTTCGCATTCGATAATTAATTTCTTAGTAAATTAGACCGGGAGCTGGTGACAGGTGACGTTCCACGATTTTGTCGTGCATGCCTTTTTAAGGCTTGATAACTAACCCTAAAATATCAAAGATTGTCGGGGCTTTAGCCCCCCCGCGCGTCCTCTTCATAGGGAAAAGCGCTTTTCTTTGTGTAGCGAATTTTCGTGTTTTTCTGTGATAGTATACTACATGCCATTGTAATATACGGAAGTTCAAGCAAATTGAAGCTCTAATAATTGATGGCATGCACCCCGCAGCGGCCTAACATAATCAAAAGGTTCTGAAAACCTGAAAAAAAATAAAGGGCAATTCCGTGTTTTCAAATTGCATGCCGATGTAAAGAATGGAAGTTTTTGTAATAAAAACACTCTGCAAAAATCGGCATGCACCCCTCGTATGACCATGGCATGCAGTTTGGAATCACGGAAAATCGGAGTTCAATTTTACAGAGTTTTCCGGAAATTTTCCACCGTTGGTTGGTCTAAAATTACCTATTTCACGCGCTCAGGCATCAAATATTTTCAAAGTATCGTTTTATGTGCTCTATCTATGCAGAATCTGAACCAGCCCGCAATTTCGTCCTCTGACATTTATCGTCACCTAATATTCCAGCGGTGTTGGAAGATCAAATCCCTAGTTCTTTTTTATAGAAAATCTAAGAACAATGAAAAATAGTTTATGCTCTGTAACTGTTTATTTATGAGGTGAACTCATATTACATTCGCAATTGTTTATGCATCAATTATATGTGTGCCTATTAATGTATGTGCATCAACTACACATGAAAATCTCAGAATAATTCATAGTAATAATAAATAATTCATGAAAAGGGACGAAGGAGATGATAAGCTGACCAGGTTTACCTCATTCTTCTTTTTGAATAGGCATAACCGTGACTGAACGTGAACTTATAACTACTAATAAAGCCTGACTTTTAAATAAAAGTAAAAAAACTAATTACAACATGGAAAAAAACAATTAGTGCAGTTTCAATGAGCAATATCATTGGGATGCCATGAAATATGAGGAGATATTGATGCATTAACGCAAATGGATGTTGTTTCTCAACCTTCCTACGACAGGTATTTTAAGTAGTACTCAATATCGAGAGATAGAAGTTTAAAAATATCTAATAGAATGTGTTCCGTCAACAATAAAAATTAATATAAAGTGTTGTGGTGGGCTGCATATCTTTTATTTAAGCTCAGATTAGCTCAATCACATTATACTGAACATGGTAGGGGGAGATTCTGATACCGCGATGACCGTATTCCAGAGCCAATTCATCTATTTCATAACACACTTTTACCGGCTGGTTGGCTATAATTAATTTGATTACCTCTGCTTTCAGCATTTGCATATTTGTATTTATGCCGTTTGCT